GTGTTAGAGTAAGAGTTTTCACCCCATTTTTCACACCCAGCTCTTCATATTGTGTCTGGCACCGGCGACCTGATGTTGCCTGAGATTTCGTGGGGAAGGGGGCATGGAAGTGAGGACTGTAAAGGCGAGAGAACACTTTTCAGAATACTGTTTGGGGATAAAAATGGCGCTGGCTGTGCTGTGCACAATGCTCCTCTGAACTAAAGAACCTCGGTGTGGGGTCCCTTCAGCGTGGCGTGCATGCGTGCCTGTGGTATGTCTGCCTGAAGCGGCCACTGTAACTTTGAACTTAATAAGTCTGAAAAGAATGCATCGTTGATTTTAAGAAAATCTTCCAGAGTCATCCAGTTTTCTCAATACTGCCAATACACTTCCGGTCACGCTCTGATTTGCTTGAGAACCTAAGTCCTGGCCTCCCCTCAGACCGTGAGTGCACCCTTTCCTCATCCTTGCTGACACTGTCTCCTCTTGGGACTTGATGCCCAGACTTTCATAGTCCTCCTAACAGGTTCCCCTGTTTTCAGCCTTCCCGCCTCTTACCTGTGGGATACCGCTGCCAGACACCTCCCCCTAGAGCAATATTAACGTCACGTTTTCTTGCAGTGACAAGCAGAGCCTAGCCACTGATAAGTCTTTGGACTCAAAATCTTCCCACCATTTCTCCCACAGTGCATCCTACCTTTCTTCCAAGGCTGGTGGGCTCACACCTGTTCTCTGGAGTGGTTGCTGTGCTGGTCCTCTCTCAGGATGCTTTGCCACCTCTGAATTCTGGTAGCGTGTGTATCCTGTGTTATAATTTTGGTACTTCTATAGTTCTTTGAATTGTTTTTCACGTATAAAATTGACCTTCCCTCGTAGATTCTAAGTTCCCCAAAGGCTCAGGCATCACATCTTATTTTTTGTCGACGTTGCATATATTGTAAATGCTAAGTCAAAATGTCCTGTGCTTAGGGTTTTTACTGTTAGCTCTGAAGAATACCAATATGATAAACTGCCTTGAGACAAAATGCATTGGGAGTGATTTTTTTTTGGTCTTATATTGAATTATACTTATCCACTACTTTGTAAAAGCACTTGTGGCTGTATAGCATAAGCACAATTATTTTGGAAACAAAAGGAACTGTTTCTTGAGATAAATAACATGGACCAGTATAGATTTAAATGGAATCTTCAGTAGGCAAATGCTAAATACTTGTGCTTACTGATTACTCCTCCAAAATCAGACCATTTATGCTCCCTACATTACTTAAGCTTGAAGGGCCACATAAATTGGTATAGACCTGTGGTGATATTTTCATAGGATGGAAAAGGTCAAGAATTACAAACTCCTTTCTTATGGTTTGGGTGGTTATCTGCCATTGTCTGGCGCTGATCTCCAACCTGTGACTTGCTTGGAGGTGGAGGGAGTCTGATGCGGAGCTGAGATTATACTTTGCTTATGATCAGAATGTTAAAAACTTACTTGCGTCACTGAGCGAGCAGTCTATAATCTAAGAGTTGGTGGAATTTTTATGTTTCTTGTCAGGGATGTCTCCATGCGGATAGTAAAGAAACATAACGTTTTTGCCGTATGGTTGAACTTGTCTAGATCTCAAGCGGTTGAAATTCCCTAGTTTGGTGGTCTTAGAAAGGACAGCATAGTCATGTGAGTGAAAATGCCACGGCATCTGGAGGGCACTCCTTTGAGAATGTGGTCGTCGTACTTATGAAGAGGCTGCCCCCTGAGAGGGTGGATCGGGGGTTGTGTTAGTTTGGGGAGGAGGCCTGGTCCAGCAGGCAGCCTAAACACAGTCCCGCTGCAGTGTGTACTGTTTGCCGAGGATGTCATTGTGGTGGGTCTTCACAGTAAGAGTTAAACCGGAGGATTCCCTGGAGTGGACGAGATGTCCAGCTCACCCGTGTTACGTGTCACGTGGACTTGAGCTAACCGACCAGCAGCTCTTAGAGGAGGCTCGCCATGCGACTGGGGACACCTCACTCAAAGGAGTCAGGGACAGGAGAAGCAAACCCTGATGTTCTCTGTGTTCTTGTGCATGTTTGTGCAGGCTTGGACTTTTAAACTTTGTCATCTGGATCCAAGTGGAGAAAAGTTCCCCACTTTTCATTTGGTCCGACACTTTCATCGAACCGGCCTTTGTGAAATGCCAGCCCTCGCGTGTCATCCGTATTGCATTTGCATGGAAATCCGAACTGAATGGAGAAAGTGGGCATCACTCCTCTGTGTGCGAGTCCATTAAACCCCAGCCATTCCCAGAGTCTGCGGTGCCCTTCCCCCGCTCACAGCAGAGCAGAGCACGCGAGCCGTGTGGGGAGAGGGCCGGCCAGTTCCACGGTTCTCACCTCTGCTGCTCAAAAGGCCTTCGGTTAAATTCTTGTTAAAATTAGTAACATTTTAAATTTTGTAAATGGTTTCTAAATGTAGTGTGCATGATTTTATAGCATTGATGCATGCTTGAAACTTGGGGTGGAAAAGAAAACTTAATTAGTAGGTGTTTCTGTGTGTTGATGAACTTCGGTCCTTGAACAGAATCAAACTCCATTTTTCCCCCTAGCTGATGAAACAGAAGTCTTTTCTCGGTTGCTGAATTGTGTTCTTAAAGTAACTGCAGGCTTTAAAAATGTGATTTCTATTATGAAGCAAACTACTTTCTCACAATGGCTTCAATATAATATTTGTGGAGGCAACAATTTTTATTTATATTTTATTGTGGCAAAACGTAGGTAATGTAAAATTTGCCACTTTAACCCTTTTTGTCTGTGCATGATTTAGTGGCATGAAGTACATTCGCACCCCAGTACGACCCGTTAGCACCCTCTGTCGCCAGAGCAGCTCTTTCATCCCAGCCGGAGCTCTGTGGCCATCAGGCGAAGGCCCCTCGCCCCCTCTCTCCAGCCCCACGCTACTTGCCTTCCCCGTGAATGTGACTGTTCTAGGGGCTGCACAGAGGTGGGATCACACGTTATCTGTCCTCTGTGTCTGCCTTATTTCACTGAGCGTCACGTCCTCGAGGTTTGTCCCTGCTGTAGCCTGTGTCAGAGCTTCCTTCCTTTTCAAGGCTAATATTCCGATGTACACGTACACACACACCCCACATTGTGTTTATCTGTCTGTTCCTTTGGCTGCTGTTGTGCGTAGTGCTGCTCAGAACATTGGTGTACAGGTCACCTGTCCAGTCTCATTTCTTCTGGGTGTGCACCTAGAGGGGGAGTCGCTGGGTCATATGGTGATTCTGTTTCATTTTTTTCAGCAAGCCGCTGTGCTGGCCTCCAGTAGTGGCCACGCTGTTTTCCATGCCCGCTAGCAATGCACAGGGGTTCCAGTTCTCCCACATTCTCGCCAGTGCTTGTTTTCTGGTTTTTGGATAATAGCCACCCCCAGTGGATGTGAAGTGGTACCATTGTGGTTTTGAGTTTGTCATTTCTTGTTGGGAGCTATTGGTTTTTCCGTATTTTACGTTTATTTGTATTTGAAGGTGTGGGTAATATTTAGTTGATGAGCCACATGTAAAGCATGTGGCAGAAAAATATTCTGTAGGAAATGGTTGACTTAGTCAACCAGACTTCTTCCAATTAACACAACTATTTGAGAAGGTTTTATAGTGCTTTATTTATAATGATTTTTAAAGCACTTAAACATCGGCGTGAGGCCGATGTGGTTTTACTAGTTAGTGGCAAAGACAGTAGGGTCCTGGTTAGGACACCCGTCGACTGCATTACTGTTAGAGCGGCTCCTGCAGTCAGCTCTGAGAAATCGGCGTGATGGACAGCGGCGCAGGCAGGCTATCCTGCTCAGGGTTTCAGACGCCGGGGCTGGACTTACGGGGCCTGTGCTGTCGCCCTCACTTGGTGGTCCTGTGCAGACACTCTTTATCTCCTTGGGTTTCTCGAGGAAGACAAACTCTACTGTGCAGGGCCGGAGCCCAGCTCCCCAGAGCGTCGTCTCACGTGCTCCTTTGTTCCCAGAAACAGCACGGGCCGCTGGCAGCTCAGACTGCTGGTCAGGCCAGGACGCAGCGTTGGGCAGCAGAGCCGAATGCTTTACGTTAGGGTTCTTGGGGAGTCGAGGCTGTTCTGTTCGCTTCCTTTCTTTACGCAGTTTTAAAACATGAATGCATATTATTCATTACAAATTTGTAAAATTGTAATTGGTTCTTGAAACTGAGGCGATTTGGAGTTTGAGGTAGTGTTTTAAGATTCTAACCATGAAGGGGGATATGGTATGAGTTTTTACAAAGAACCGTTTTACTTTTTTGTTTTTTTTTTGTCTTAACCAGGGTTACAGTAACAATATAGTGTATAAAACAATACAGTAACAGCGCTTGAGTTCCGGGGAGCTGTGTGTAGACCAGCATGCTGCGTGTTGCTTGAAGCAGCAGGTCCGCCAGGAGTAGAGCACCCCCCAGGTCACCAGTGATGGGCTGATCAAACTCAATTAGGCACCCAGTTACTGTTGGGTGGTTTAACGTTAGTGATAAACTCACTGTCCGCACACATTCTTGTTTAGAAATATTTGGCATGTATTGATGGTACATTTTGTAGAACTTTTCCTTAGCAGAGCAGCTTGTCAGATTGTTCCTAAAAGCAAGTATTCAATAAAAAGTCCATACTAATTAATGTAAAACGTACCAAGGCCTTTACATATGGTGGGGTAGCATAAAGGGTTACCATCTCTTACTTTGTTTTTTCAGTTCCGGTTCACTTTGGTTTAGAATTGACATCACTGGCAGTTTTGAGTAGTAGTAGGTGATGTGTCCTAAGAAAACGGGGCCAGTGAATAATTGATACAATATTACTGTTACATAAAGATAAATGTTGATACTTCTTTTCCTTACTGCTGTGAAACTTTGTGCCTTTCTGCCCTTACTTTGTAGTCACCTACTTAATCTCTACAAGTTGCTATTAAAATGGTTGCTATTAAAAGTGTAAGACTTTAATCCGGTTTGTTTTTATGGGATGTTCTATTTCTAGTCAATTAACATGTGCCCCCTTTTCTGATCTAGAATGACTCTGCTCACGGTGATTACATGCAAAGTAACGAGGCCAGTTTGATAGAACAAGCCCCGATACCTCATGACGGACTTACCGCAGCGCCTCACAGAGCCCAGCGAGAAGGTAGGCTGTGTTTCGGAACTTAAAGCATCTGTTGGTGGAAAGTGGCAGGGTGCTCTCTACAGTGGTTACTCTACCCCTTCCCTGTCCTTTCCGGAGTGGAGAGGCCCTGCTGGTCCCGGGTTTAGCTCCAGCGCCAGTCATCCCCGATCTTGAGTCTCTCTCTGGGCTCCTGCTTCCCAGCGCATGGCCCGTCCTGGCTGGTGCTTTTGGATCTGCCTTGTCGTCAGTGGTCTTGACTCTGGTTGCCTATCTCTGGAGGGCAAAGACCTTACCATGTTTCCAAAGTGTTTAGAATAGGGCTTTATCTCTAGGAGGTTGCTCAGTGTCTGCGGAAAAACTTGAAACTTACAGAAGTTTGCTGTAAGAGAGGGCAATTTCTGGAGTCCATGCTTCCTGTAGCGATACAGTTTTCAAGGTGGCCGGGATGGGAGAATGAGAAGACCTTGCTACGTGAAAAGAAATGAGTTTGGACATTCCGTTAGCATTTGGGGAGTCCGTTACCTGTGTTGAGGGAAAAATTGAAATGGAAAAAGTAGACTGCCATCTGGTCGGCCTGGGAAGAGGGGGAGACAGGCGAGAAGCCTCGCACCCCGTTACCACAGCCCTGAGTGGACATTGTTTTGTCCAAGTTAGTACCAATGATAGACCTTTTGGTGTAATGCATTTTTCCTCATAGAGGAGGAAAAATAGATATGAATGTTCAATGTTTAAAAAAGTTTACATTTCCATTCGAGATTATTCAACTGCTTGAATCACTTCAGCCAAGCTCACTGGACACGAGTCACCTAAAGCAGAGTTTGGTTTTATAATGAAGGTCCTTTTTTAAAAAACAAACAAATATTTTAAAAATGTATCAAAATGCTAGCAGTTAAGGTGGTGTAACTTTTCCGTATTCTTAATTTCTTAAACACATGTATGGAATCCATGCTTTTTAGTTTCAGTCTTTGAGGTTGGAGGATGCTCTCGCATCATCAGCCATTCCTCACCACATACCCTCTGTCCTCTTGTCCGGATTCTGATAGATCACGGCAGGTAGGGCTCAAAGTCCAGGCTGAAGACAGAGCCACGTCCCGCAGCGCCCTAGTCGTCCCCACCGTAGCCCACCGGTGTGCAGAAGCAGAGCTGCGTTATACTTCTGCACGCAGAGTACTGGTTCAGATGGCCTTTGTCTAGTGGCGTCCTCCTTTACATAACTGAATAGAAAAGCTTTCGGAAGCAGCAGGCGCCCCTTCCCCACTGTGGCCTCGGGGATGCTGGGGGAGCTCTGAGGAGTTACAGGCTTCTCGCCTGGCTTTGGGGGTTTTCGTTTGTCTCCGTTCTCAACACTTCTCACCCACTAAGGGGGACTGGCCCAGAAGCAGGCCACCAAACACTATATTTGGAAAGCTGTCACCAAATACTGGTAATGAGATCCCTGTAGTTGATTATGAATGTCTGTTTACCAGCAAATTTCTGTGTCTTATGTTTCTTGCTTTCTCATTGCCCACCTTCCGTGATCTATAACAACCTTAATTCTTCCTATGTACTTTTGTTCCTTTGTGTATTCTGCTTCATCTATTTTAACTTCTTCCTCTCAGGCAAAGTGAATCCCTTCCTCCTCTTCTCCATCCCCTGCCCCTTGAATCCAACAGTGATGCTAGTCTGTTGGGTCACTTTGCTAATTTCTTTCCTAAGACCTGTATCATCTTCATTGCTACCAGCCTCATTATTATTTAAGTGCTGTTTCTTTTGAATGAATCTGAAGTGCTGTATTTGTAGTGATATGAATAACAAACAGCTTTCGGAATTATCATCTCAGAAATAATCTTCACCGCAGGCACCTTTTTATTATTTATCTTTTTTATCTTTGGTGCTGAGCAGAGTGCCTGAAACCACGCAGGCACTCAGCAAGCGGAAGGGGCATAGAGAGGAAGCACTTCTGGATGGACGGCACCTGGCTGTGCTTCTGGGGTTGTTGTTGTTTTTTGTTTTTTGCCTTATTTCACGACCGAAGAGCAACAGGAAAGGTGAAGATGCGTAGCTCACCGTGTAGCGTCCGTTACGTCGGGTAACTGCAATGCATGTCTGGTCTCGGTAGAACGAGTCAGCCTGTTTTCTTTCTTTCAGCTGTGCACATTGAGAAGATAATGTTGAGAGGAGTCCAGAGAAAAAGGGCTGACAGATATTGGGAGTACACCTTCGAAGTAAGCTACTCTCACCCACAAAAGATACCTCCTATGTCCTGTTAAATAATCTTTCGGAAGGAATGACAAGTGATCTTGGGAGAAACTTCTGGCAGGTTTGCTAACTTAGAAAAGCTGTACCTATGTATACGTTTGTCGGACCGGAGGGAATGCACTGCTTTCAGCGTGTGCTGCGTGGCGGCCAGGCCTCTTAGACTGTGCCGTCACCCGAGACGACTCTGACACCTTCAGCAGAGGAGGAGGAGCCTTCGATGGCAGGTGTAAGATGTGTCTTTGCAGAGTAACAGTGAGCACTCTCACCAGTGCTTCTTAAGGAGGGTCCCAGGCCTTGTCTTTTCCTGTGCTAGCCTCCCTGATACTTTTCTCCTCTTTTTCTTTCTCCGTGGTTTTATTCCCTGGCCTCCGTGGCCCTGTCTTCTCATCTCTGATTGCTCTCCTGTCATTCTGTCCTTCGAGCAGCTCTAATTATCCTTCGAGCCCAGCTCCGGGAGGGCCCAGGTCTCCTCTTTGCCTGCTCCCTGTCACGTGGATCCCTCGTCCACGGCGTCCTCACTCCTCCCTGCTGGCCTTCCCCGTCTGTCCCTTCCTCCGAGGCTGCATGGGCCTTGAACTGGACGGAAAGGCGCCGCGTCGCCCTGCGTCCTCCCCGCCCCCCCCGTTCTCCCCAGAGGTGCTGCTTGCCAAACGTGACTGGGCCTTTCTCGTGCAGTCACCCCTGTTCTCCCACAGGGCGTGTGTTCATTCATCTGAGGGCCACCGCCATCACACCTTCCTCGGGCTCTCACGTCTGGGCCACGCGCTCTTTCTCCCCAGTGGACTGTCGTCTCGTGGCGGAGCAGGGATCTTCATCCTTGGTCACCGGCGGCATCTGGCTCACTGAGTACACTTGCTGACCGAGTTCCAGGACGCTGGCTTCTGCTTGGTGGGAGGGATATCCTCAATCTGCAGATTTTAGGTCCTCATCCCTACTTTCCACTTGAGTTGAGTGACTTTGTGGCATAAGCCACGCCCCGCTCTCTGCATCCGGTGTCACCAGCTCTCCTCGTGCTGCCGGAGCGCTGCGGCTGTTCCTTCCTCGAGGTCTGCGTCCTCCTCCTGTGGAGTGACCTGCCCGCAGGCCCAGGCACAGCCGCTGCCCCTGCCGCTCTCATGTGGGTTCTCGAGCCCCCTCCTCTGAGGTCTTCATGGTCCCCATCTGACCTGCTTCTCCCTGCGCCAGCGCCCCGCCCTGCTCTGTCCTCCGGAGCGCTGTGTCTGCTGCACCTGGCCCCAGCCAGCGGCCCCTTGGGCTGCCTTGTCCCCTTTCCCGGTCCCTGAGACTGTCTACACCAGTAGCTGCTGCACAGGCACTTGAGTGACTAGAACTCATCTGAGAGACACGTCAGTTAATGGGTGTTTGCTTTGAGGGTTGCTAGGTAAAATTCTGTATGTCCAGTAGGTCCTTGCATAACAACTTTTCACTTAATGTCGGCCCATTAAAATTAATAGGATGCCCTAGGAACTGAACTCTTGTTTATATCAGTTAGCCTATGGTAAAATCAGCCTTATCATACACTGTTTTATTTAAGTCACAGTGCCTACTGGTGACGTTAAGTAAGGCCTTACTGTATTTTTACGTGTCTGACTCATTATTAATATGATACAATTAATTGATAAGCCTTAGATATTAGCACAGTTCAAGTATTTACTTAGCTCAGACAAGTATAAAGTAGAAATTATTAGTGGGTCACCATCAGGTCCACTAAATTAAAAGTATCCAAGAGCTAAAGCGGCAAATAGATTTTCATTCTGGCTATTTTTGGTTACTTAGGGTCAAATCTAAGTTGAGTTTTAGTTTCTCCATCTTTAAACGGGTCATGCCTGCCCTATAGACCTTAATAGATTTGAAAGTATTGAGGTGAAGATGAAACCTTCTCAGAAACCCCCATAAAAGTGCAGCGTGGCATCTCCGAGGAGGGCGGCCAGCCCCGGGTCTTGCTCCGGAGAAGGTGCGCTCCGCTCCCTCCGTGAGTCCCAGGAGGAGGGACATCTGGCCCCCGCGGGGGGCGGGGCAGTGCTGTCGGGGCACGATTGTGGGGTGCTGCGGCCTCACAGAACGGGGGTGAGGCATTTTCTTTTCCGAAAAATCGCTAAAATATAGTCACGTATCTTTAAAAGCAGATTTTTAAGAAGACCGTGTGATTTGAAAGGAGTTGGTAAAAATCTTTTTGAGTAGAATATATCCATGGACTGTTAATTTTAAAAACTTGAAGAAATGATGATAATGCCAGATTAACTTTATATTTCTAGTTGTTAACATCTTAGTACAATTTAAGTAGGCTCTTTGTTTTACACATGGCTTTTTTCCATCTCTTTCCTGCCTAAAAAGTAACCATGTAATATGTGTTGTTTTTTTTTAAATCAGGTAAATTGGTCTGATCTTTCAGTTACCACAGTAACAAAAACCTACCAAGAACTACAGGAATTTCTACTGAAGGTAAAAGTATAGATTTCTTTGTTAAAATGACTTTTACATAATATACAGAATCCAGAACCTTTGTATCAACATAAATACAGGAATATTAGAATACACATATGCAGCCTGGGCCAGGCAGCTCAGGTGGTCAGAGCATCGCCCCAAAACGCCAGGCTGTGGGCTCTGTCCCCATTGGGGTGCACATGTCACTAGCAAGTGCATCAGCAAGTGGAACGGCAAAGTGACTTCCCTCTCTCCCTCTCTCTAGAATCAAAAAATAAAAATTAAAAAAAAAACATATATACCTGTTGGAGAACTCTCCATGAACGCTGGCTGCAGAAAATGTCATGTTATTCTGAATATAAGTATTCTTACCTCACATTACCAATATAAGGATGTGATAAAGGATGTTTAACATTTTTTTTAATGGAACCTTAATTCTGCTTCCTCGCCGAGACCTGTGCTGGTGGTGGCTGCTTGCAGGGGCCCATCCGGAGAGAGAGTGTGTCTGCATGTGGACTGAGACAGGGCACCTTGGCATTTGGCCGCGGCCCTCCCACCTGACAGCTCTCCGGCTCCCCCTAGGGGCTTCCTTACGCACATCTCGTTTGCTCCTGGGAGGCCCAGGTGGCCCTCGGCGCCCTGCGAGGGTGGGATTTCCCGAGTGTTGAGAGTGAGGGCTAGTGGGAACATCTTACACACTTACAGAGGTGAACGGCCTCGTAGATCATTCTGTTCAAACTCACTTCTGTTTCTTTTATACTAGTTTTATTTTGTAGGAAAGCATGTGGGTAGAGACAAATATTAAAATAAGGGAATAGGTTTAAATGGTTAACCAACAAATTACCGTTTCTCAATAAGCAGACATTTTAGAATTTACTGTTAGCATGGAGCTGAAACAAAGTCCAGAAGCAGGAAACGTTCCCAGCTCAATGACTAACTTTGAGGTAGAGGAGGGACAGGTTTACCGAGCCAGTAACGCACGGAGTTCCCAGGACAGTGCTGGTGTTTCGGCTGTCTGCTCGTCACCATGCACCTGCTCTCCTGGGTCACACGGGTCTCTGTCCGCTCGTACAGCTGAGAGGACGTTTGTGTGCAGCTTGCGCAGCTGTGCACGGCATGGGGGGCGCCGGCCCTCGGGTTACCGTGCCGTCCCCACGGGGTGGGGGGCAGGGGGAGCGCCCTGGGATGACTGGAACATTTCCATTGCCCGTGGCTGTTTTCACCTGACTCTCTGGTGACCTGACTGCATGTAAAAATGGGGGGTTGTGAATTTCCAGTTGCCAAAGGTCATATGCACGTGACATGTTGGCCTCAGACTGCAGGGAGGAGGGGCGGGGCGGGGGAGGGACAGGGGAGGGGGAGCCCTGTCAGCCACGGAGCGGGGCCTCCGCAGCCACCCCCGGGAGAGAGTCTCTCCTGGCTGCTGTTCTGCCTACTGAGGAGCAAGGAAGGAAGGGTGTCCCCAACCCACCCCACACACGAGTTTCAAATCCTCTTTTTCTACCTATTTGCGACTTTTCTCTCTCGACAGAATAAATTTTTCAGAGTTCAGGGCAGGCGTACTCATGAGCAGGCTCGTGCGGGTTGGCAGTGTGCTTCACGTTCCTGTCTCCTGTCGCCCTTTCTGGGACTGGGCTCTGGGGCTGGAGGGTGGAGGGTGGGTTGCGGGCCACAGAGAGCCAAGGCTGAACTAAGTACCAGGGACATTAAAGTATGCATAAGCAGTGTGGGTGGAGGCGGGCGCGGTGGAGCCCAGCAGTGCCGCTGTCGCGCTAGCCCCCACCCAGAGGGAGCGGGGCTGCCACTCGCCTGCCCCCTGTGCGCACCAGCACGAGACCGGCCCCCAGCCTGGGTCTGGGCGCCTGGGCAGAGCCCCTCCCACTGGGCCTCCTGAAGGTTTGGTGGTGGTTTGTCTTAACACATTTCATTTTCTTAGGGGCTTGAAAAAATACAGCCCCAAGTAAGTAATTTACTTTTCAGAGTCATGGTGACTAATTAATCCCCTGCTTAGCCAAGATTTTTGAATATAGTATTTTTCTAAATTAGGACAAATGCCTTATCAGGTTACATAAAATAATCGGCAACGTTGTGTACTTCTAGAAATTTATTGCCTACTTTAAGTACACTTTCAAGTTTACCATATAGCTTTTTATTTTTTACCTTCCTTTTAAAGTAAGCTACAAACGTTAAGAGCAAAAACCGTTCTCTTGACAACCTGCACGTTCTAACCTGTGCAGCTGGTCTCGAGTTGAAGTTCTGGTGTGCTGGGATGCAGGAGAGTGAGTCCGAGGGCAGCGCGTTCACACTCTCGTTCCCGTAACCAGCAGCCTCTGCCCTCCGCGCCCTCCCAGCCCCCTTCGCCGGCTGCTCCCTGGCGACCCTCTGACACCCTGTCTGGCACCTGGCATTTAGCGTGGCTGTGTGGGAGCCCCACGGCAGCAGCAGGGCTCTGTGTCTTCGTGCACCGCTGTCCCCGCAGTGCCTGCCCCAGCACCTGGGGCAGCTGGGGGTTTGTTGGAGGAATGAATGAGCAAGGAATCACAGACGCGAAATTGTGATGGAGCCTCGTAGGGGGTTGGTTCTCTGTTAGGCCTCCATTTTTTCTTTTTTTTTTTTTTTTTTTTAAGAAAAGCTTGCGAGAACAAGGTGCGAACCTTCCAGCACTCTGAGCGTGCGCTGAGGCTGAGCCAGGGCTCCGTGGGTGGGAGGCTAGGGGTGCTGGAGCAAAGACTGAGGGGGGGAATCCAGAACAGTAACTAGAAGAGAAGAGACATGACTTAAAGCTATATTCTTAGCAAATACGCCTTCCTCTAGAATCAGAAACAGTCTCTGGGAATGAAAGATAAAACCCACTGGGAAGTAAATCAGGTTGCAAATCTCTGACCGCACAACCACACCCTGCCCAGTCACGCGAACAGCCGTGGAGCGGGGGGATCCCCTGTGCTCCCACCTTCCTGGGTTCAGAAAAGCCCCCAGCAGTTTGGTGGTGGGAACAGACTCCACGAAGCTGGTTTCCTGAGGCTGGGCGCAGGTGTTCGGGAGGAATCGTGCTTGAAGTGGGGACACTGTATGCCCAGTGTCCTAAGTCTATCAGAGTAGTCACATCAAAATGTAAATGCTGACATGACGAGTCATTCCTGTGGAAAAGGTGCAGAATTAGAATGTGTGTTTGTTCCTGGTGGTGGTCAGAGGGCCCGGTGGTGTGTGGGGTGTGGGGTGCAGGCAGAGCCTTCCACCTCAGCAGATTAATAAAGAACCAGGAGCCTCATCCTCACGGAACACCCTGACTCCACCGTCTCACTCTGCCTAACATGAATACTGCTCTCTGCTGCCTTTGTTGACTTTCTACCTCTGAATTGCTGACTCGAAATTCTGATTTGGCAGAAGAATGCTTACTGTGGGTTCTCCCATTAAAGATCAATATGTAAACCGACCCTTCGTGTAGGCCATTGGATTCCTGGGTCTCCTTAGATACTGTGTTAATGGTTCTCCTCTGAATTTTAATGGGAGTGCCAGGAAATTAGGAGTGAGTTGCAAAAACTAGTTATCAAAAGTCAAACGTAAAACTTTGAATTCTCAAAAGGCTTGGAAAGTTAGTTTTATAGAGAATTACTATAAAGAATTTGAAAAAGTAAACTGGTTACTAAATATAATGACTTAAAATTTTAATTTTAGTTAAAAAATTTTCTTGCCAAGTGATACTTTTTTTTGTGGTTTCTTGTACATTGCTCTGAGGTTGCCTCCATCACATTGAGGAAACTCTAATTAAAGCTTTAATTAGAGTTTCTTTTTTAAAATGTAAGTTAGAGTAAGAGTTTCCACCCCATTTTTCACACCCAGCTCTTCATATTGTGTCTGGCACCGGCGACCTGATGTCGCCTGAGATCCCCTGGGGAGGGGGGCATGGAAGTGAGGACTGGAAAGGCAAGAGAGCACTTTTCAGAATACGGTTTGGGGATAAAGATGGCACTGGCTGTGCTGTGCACAATGCTCCTCTGAACTAAAGAGCCTCGGGTGGGGTCCCTCCAGCGTGGCGGGTGCCGGCTCGAGCGCAAGGTCGGTGCCGGCGGTCCCAGAGGCGTGCCCAGCGCTGCCCCTGCTCCCCGGGAAGCCCCGGGCGCCACCCAGAAGGCGGGCGGCGTCTGTCCGTGTGGACACACCCGTGTGTACGCACCCGTGTGTGGAGCTGGGGAACGGGGCCACGTTGGGCCCACGCTGACCGGGCGGGAGGCGGCCGTCCGCCGCTCAGGCCCGTAGTTTGTGGCACATGCACCTGCCCGCAAGCGGAAAACGTAACACTGGCCTGTGCTCTTCTCCTCCAGCTTCCCAAGGAGTTGTCTTCAGAGGCTTTTGACAAGACCATCCTCAGAGCCCTGAATCAGGGCGCGCTGAAGCGAGAGGAGCGGCGGCATCCCGACCTAGAGCCCATCCTAAGGTACCGTCACCAGGCGCGGCCCCGGCGGGGTCCCAGGCTGATGGCCGGCCGCAGGCCGTGCGAGGCCGAGCCCAGGGGCTCTCTTTCTGGAGGACTTTCTAGGGTGAGCTCTTCCTCCGTGCGGTGTCTAGGTCCGGGCTCACAGTCAGACACCACACTAGCTCTTCCGTCACTGTGCGCCCTACCTCTCCCAGATCAGAAGTACCTGCGGATACTCGGTGAAACTCCTTTTCCCCAGGAAGTGTTATTGAAAGAGGCCCTTGTCCAGGAGCTCAGCTCTGGAGATGTTTGTGTTGTTCTAAGTTGTCAGGTAAGATTAGGCCCATGGGTGTGAAGGTGAAGGAAACACCACTTCCTGGGCGCCTGCTCCCAGGACACGGGCGAGTCAGCACGGGGGGGTGCGGGCACGGCCCTTGTGAGGCTGAAGGTTATCGGAGAAGGCGGTGCAGGCGAGTTGAGTGTTGCCTGTGCTGCCCACGGGGGTGGGGAGCAGGAGCCCTGCCCGGGGTGAGCTCCCGAAGCATCCCGAGTGCCTGGAGAGAGAGCCAGGGGTGAGGTTGGCAGGACGGGTAGGGGGCATGGAGGCAGGGATCACGGGTGGCACCAGGTCCTTACGCAGGCAGGTGGATGTGCATGTAGGTAAATGTACTTGTTTCACGATGCAAAGTTGAGGGAACCTCTTGTCTGATGGCTTTTTCTTCAAGAGCAAGAGACGTGCTAAGGAAGGGGCAGACTGCGGGTGGGGGCCGACTGTTCGAGAGCAGAAGCGGCTGAAAACACCAGTGCGGGGTGTGCAGACAGCGGCCCGAGGCGGCCGGGCGGCCGGGCAGGGTCGGAACCCGGCTGGGCCGGGAGCCGCACAGACCGCAGCGCTGTCGTCCGTCGGTGTGATTGCTGAAGATCGTTCCCGCAGTTCAGGTCCGGGGATTGATTTCTGTTTCCCAGCGATGGACTGGTGCTTTCCTAAATTAATGACTTCCTATGTGGGTCTTCACCCTGCGTTCCTAGGCAGGGAACACGGCTGGGGGTCTCCCCCGTTGGCCTGTCGTTCCTGTGCCAGGGTCGCGTGTTGTTAGTTATTAGCGCTTCACCGTTCAGGGAGAGCTGGTAGATCCGGCGTTTTCCTACCCCTGGTGCAGTTTAAAATACTCTTCCATGTTCGCAGATAGTTGTTCTCCAGCTCAAACGGTTATTTTAAAGCTTGTTTCGTATGCACTTTAGGGGGCACCGTGAGCTGCAGCTCAGGCCTTGCGATGCCGGTGCCTGCGTTCTCTGTGTGACTCATTTTTCCGAACTTGAGATTTGTCTTCACTTTGATTATAGTGTATTTCCTTTCTTACATCACACAAAAATTTGATTTTTGAGCATTCAGATTTCTGACTTGAATGGTTTCTAGGTATTATGTGGTCCTTGGGAAGTTTTCTCATACACAGATTATAAATTTCATGTTTTCTTTGTTGCATGTAAACCTCTGAGCCTTCTAGAGTTCATTTTGATGTGAGTAGTAACGGAGTCACTGTCAGCTCCCATCCCGCCCCCTTTTCTCCTGTCCCCCCTGAACAGTTACACCCTAAAGCCACTCAGCAGGACAGGGTGAGGTGGGCAGCAGTGTCATGTTTGGGGGGTGTGACCTAACGACCTGAAGACGGGAACCCTGAGGAACTCACAGTGACGGCGGTGGGAGCCAGCCTGGCGCCGTGGCTCCAAGGGCAGACACGTGCGGGGTGGCCCAGAGGGCCTCAGAGCCCGGGTGGGGTCGGGGGGGGGGGCGGGCCCTGCACTGAGGTTGAGAGGGAGCGGCACTGGCAGTGGGAGGTAAGTTGCTGCAGGGGGATTGGCCTAACTAGTAGATGTCGCAGTAGTGAGAGCCAGTGTTCTCTCTGTCGGAGAAAAGAGTCGTAGTGTGGAAAAGGAGGAAACCAGAATGAACCTTGGAGTGTCTCATCAGAATTGAAGATGTTGGTGCAAACTCATGATTGTCAGTGTACGAGGTATCCGGCCATGTAATATGAAAACTAGAGACATTTATTGAAGAAGATACAAGATACAAGACACATTGTACATAAGACAGTGACGCCTCAGTCCCCTTCAAAGCAGGCACGTTGGGACTTCACATAGCTTTCCCAGTCACCATCACCACCATGCCCTGTTGTATTTCCCTGAATCTTTTCAACGGTCTGAGATCTCTTCCCTTTCAAAGGTGAATTTAGTCTGGGGAAAGGCCAAAAGTTGCAGGGCCCCAAATCTGGGCTGTAGAGGGGCTGAGTCCCCTGGGTGATTTGATGTTTTGCACTGAAAGGGTCTGGAAGCAGCCACACTCCAGTAGCAGTGGGCGTACCAGGGGGACTGGGGCCATCCTTCCCCACTGCGTGGAACCAGGGCCCGTGGAGGAAGAGCTGATTGCAGGGCTGGGGCGGGGAAGGTACGAGGTGAGCCTGTGATGCCAGCCAGCAAGGAAGTGCGCAAAGGATGGCGGGGCTGGGGTGGAAGGACACACAGCCAGCCTGAAGGGGCTTCTAGCGGTCAGATCGAACATCAGAATAGATAACAGGAACGTTGAAGAACAGGAAATCGTGAGTCCATTCTGAAGTAAATAACAAAGGAGAAGGGTGACGAAGAAGGGTGGAGAAGCCGGGCGGAGAAGCCTGGCGAAGCCACCGTGGTCCGGTCATGTGAACTCGATGAGTGAGGTCAGTCAGGGTCGCCCGCCCGCCGCACCCTAGGCTGCAGTGAGAGAGCACGGCCTCCTCCGTCCTGTGATACGCCTGCCTGGGATCTAATCACCGGGAAACGCGGGCACACCCAAACGGGACCATTTGACACAGGCCCCGGGCCAGCCGCCTAAAGCCAGCGGGCGTCGGGGAGGCTGGGGAGCTAGCCGGCCGCGGTGCCGCTCAGGGTCTGAACTGGGCCAGTGCGGTCCAGAGGGACTGCAGGGTCAAGGGGCGAAGCTGAAGTGGGGTCTGCGGAGGAGGAGGAGGAGGAAGAGGGCGTCAGTCAGTCACCCGCGTTGGTGTCCGGGTGCTGACCATAGGACAGGGTCCCCGTTGCAGCTGCTGACGTCCTCCCAGGTGTTGCATGTCCGAGGTCGGCTGTTCATGGTTCAGGGGAAAACACCCCTTTTACTGCATTGGCGGCTTTTCTGTAAGTTTGAGGTTTTCAGAAGGAGAAAATATTTCCATGGGGAGCCACTTTCAGAACTTAGGCTCTTGGCCAAGACCACAATTAAGAGGTCTGTCTGATTCCTTGTTGTAGCTTTTAGGGGTCTCCATAGCATTGATCTTCGTGTGTGTGTGTGTGTGTGTGTGTGTGTGCGAGAGAGAGAAGCTAGACTCTTCGCCATAAAGGTGTTGTTGAGGCTGTCTGTGGCAAATGCAGAGGGAGGTGGAACGTGAAAAGCCTCTAAATCTAGTCACTAGAAGAAGCTTTCATTAAAGATCCCATGTAACTGTTCAGAAGTTTTCTGTGTGTGCATGCACCCTTGAAATTATGTATTCGTATTGCCTTTACTGTGCAAACAGTTATCCCGTGCACTTTTCTGACATTTACTCTTTTCTTTAAATATGTATACTGGAAATGGTAACAGGTCAGTACCTGTAAAAAGATTGCTTCCTCAGTTTTTATTTGCTACATAGTATTCCACTTTTAGTCGCAACCCAATTAGTATATTTTATGGCCACTTTGGTTGTTTCTAAGTACTTTAAAACTACTGCAAATAATATACAGCGAAGGTCTGCATTAATGTTTCATAACACATTTGATGCATTTATCTGTAGGAGAAATTTCTAGAATTGCCTGGTCAAAAATTATGCTTTTTTTTTTTGCCCAGGCTGGTGTGGCTCAGTGGATGGAGCACCACCCTGCAAACCAAAGAGTCACCACTTCGAATCCTAATCAAGGCACATGCCTGGGTTGCAGGCCAGGTCCCTAGTAGGGGGCGTGCAAGCAGCAACCACACATTGATGTTTCTCTCCCTATCTTTCTCCCTCCATTCCCCTCTTATCTAAAAATAAATAAATAATATCTTTTGAAAAATTACGCACTTTTTAATGTGTAGCATTTCCAAATGGCTTCTGAGGAGGTAACACCACTCTTTCCCCAGCAAGCCTCGTGTTTGCATGTCCACGCCTCCACAGACATGAAGTACCCTCCATGTCTCGTCTTGGCCCACCCGACAGAGGAGGACTGCTGTGCTTGAACCTGTGGCTGCGGGGCCGGTCCCCTCCGCTGTGAGCGGCGTGTGCAGTCCTTCTCCTCTTCTGTGGGCCTTAGCGATCTGTAGGAGAGGCTAAAGAATCAAAGAGCCCTGTTTGTCCTTTCTTGACCATGCAGATAGTTTAAAATGTATTATAGTCAGATTTTCTTTTCAGTCTTTTATGGTGTCAGGGTTTTGTGTCCTGCTTGGAAAAGCCTTTCTTCCTGAAATGATATGTAAAATCTTTTTTAATATAGCCCTTTTCAAAAAATCTTTGGAATCATTTTTTGATTTCATTAGCATGTCTACCTGTGGTCTCAACACCATTAATAGGATGTGAGGACCCTTCCTTCTCAGTTTGTGAATTTTAGATGTGTGTCATCATTTGTCACTTCAGAAATAACAACAATTATTGAAGGGGGGACAGTGCAAGTGGGAAATCCGGAATGCGTTTGTGAGTGGAGACTGGCCACACGGGGAGGGCGCCCTGCGGGCCGTTCCAGACACGCTGAGTGCGCGAGGAAAAGGGGGCGTGGCGTTGGCATGCGCGAGGGGTTGCGTGGTTAGTCAAGTCAAAATGCGGTCCTGTTTCTCTTGCTTAACTGGGAGGTAGCTTGTGGTCTCTTGGACTTTTTAATATAGGTATACTTGCCACGCTTTGGTCCTGAGTTAGTGAACCTTGACTTCGGTCTGTGACTGACTTGGAGCCCGAGCCTGTGTCTCAGGCCTGGTTCCTGTAGTGGATTTGCACTTGACCTGTGGGGTCGTAGTGGGGTCTGGGTTGTCTCTTGGGCCTCGGGCGGGGAACTGAGGGTGCCCCAGCGTGCACTGGTGACCTCCTGGTTTGTAACTGCGACTGGATAATAGGAGCCACCACTGCCCTTGGACTTTAGTCCCCAGTTTTCGCTAATGTGTTTAGACCTGGAAATTCAGGTTAGCTCCTTCCTTCGTATCTGAGTTTTTCTTACATCTGTTCATTTCCCCCTTTTATCTTCCTGTCGAATATTTACCTCTACACTTGAGTACCGAGAAGCAATTTTACTTTACGTATAAGGCAACTGTGGCCCGGAGGGTCATATCTTGGTATAGGATTTATTGGTTAATGATTAATCTGAATGGTATGTCAAAAATCTTGGGGAGAAATTAAGAATTAAAATTTTAAATGAGCATTTCAAGTGCTCAGAAGTAATGGGAGGGGGTTTGTATGCTGAGCAGCAGGGTGACAGTTGAATGCACTGGTACTCTGCGAGTGTCTGAACCTTGAAGAGCTGGGGGTCTCCCTGTGAGGACATTGAAGCCACAGGGCTTGTGCAAGGTCGTTCGGCTTTTCAGTGGCTGAGCCGGCATTCAGGCCCATGAGTAAACTTTCCGTTAGACTGAACTGTCACTCTGCCCCTCTTCGTAGGGAAGACCTCCAGCTGGAATCTTTTAATTGTGTTAATAAAATATGAGGAAAGTTGGTTTGCAGAGATGCAAGCTGAGAACCGTGATGTGATGCACACTGAGGTGAATCGCCCCTCAGCCGTGAGTTAGGGTGCAGTAGTGCCTGTAACTAACCTGACCCCCAGACTGCCCCGCCTGCTCTGTTCAGGGTACAGGGAGCTCTCCCCACGACGAGGAGTAAAGAGATTCCACTTCTTTTTCTGATCAGGGTGGCTGGACCACTTGGACAAAAGGCTGAAACAGTATATGGTTTTGCTGGAATTGAAACCTTATAATTATAGAAAATTAAAAATATACTTGTTTATTAGATTCTTGCAGATGTTGAGTTTTATTCATTTCCTCCTATGGGAAATACATTAGAAAATAATATTCTGTTCCTTAGGAAAACAATTTATTTTTATATACCTGAATTAAACTACCACCTAAGTTTGCTTTACAGTCTGAACTCTGACTTTTGTGTATTTATATGACACGAATTTAACGTATCTCTCTTCTTTTACACACAGGCAGCTATTTGCAACTTCATCCCAAGCTTTTCTGCAGAGTCAGAAAGTACACAGCTTTTTCCAGTCCATCCCGTCAGACCCTCGACACAGCCTCAGTAAGCCCCTGCCCCTCCGTCTGCGCTCGGCCGCGGCTTTCCTGCCTGGGTTTCTCGCTTTGCCATGCCGTCTTGGGGTGGGGGTCACTGCACTTGTAGTCCCAGAGCAGATGCATACCGTGAAGAAACACAGGTAGTTTCGAGTGAACTTTACCCTGCAGTTCTACAGAAAATGACGCCTGAAAGCTAAAGTCATGAAACAGATGGCCCCGGAGGCCAGGGCCGAGCCTCTCACACACGCGGGCGTGCAGGGCGCCCAGGACGCCCAGGTTCCATGGCACGCCCCGCCGACAGGTTGTGGAGGGGGTTGTGGAGGGGCCACGGCGTGCAACGCACCCTATGGTCTGCCGCCACCACCACCACCGCCCCCCCACCCCCCGCCCCCGCCCTGAGAGTGGTGAACTCTCAGCCTCCCAGGCTGCAAACCTTGGCCTTGTTCTTTCCGTTTTTCCTCTTCTGACGCAATCGTTTAAAGGCCGAGCAGCCCCAGACAAAGGACGCCTTCCGTCCCCCCCTCCTCACCAGTCGCACGGTTGCCAGGGTGGCCTTTTGTATTTTTTTCTTGCAGAGACTGTGCAGAGCCCGGCCCTTCTCTCGTGGTCGGATTCTCACTGTACTTTAACCTATCTCAGGATTACGCCAGGGACCAATTTCTTAATCGCCTGTTCAAACAAAGTTTGGCATGAAATTCAAGCCCTGCCTGGAGCCTCTGCGCCCCTCCTTCCTCATCGCCCTCGGTGCTCCCGGCCCTCCCCGGTCCCCGTGCCCCTCCCCGGTCCCCGCGCCGCGGCTCCTTGTGCGCCCAGGCCTAATGTCCTGCCTCCCGTCTCAGCCTGTGGAGCTCGAGCCGGACTTAAGGCCCACCCGAAGTATCACCTCATGAAGATTTTCTGGTTTTTTCCTTAGTTTCCATAATTTGATTTTGCCCTTACGTTTCAGCATTCATCACAGTCTGCCTCGTGTTTAGTTTTATGCACATTTATCTCGGCTACCTTTTTAAACAAATATTTTGCCAGTAACTTTGATGTGTGCTTTAGGAGAATTTCTGCTAATTTTAAGCACAGTCACTATGGCAAGTGGCTAAGGTTTGTTTGTTTTTGTTTTTTAAAAACCTTCCTGCTTTCAAGAAAGGCCTATTTTCCTGCATTTAATGGAAAAAGAAAATACATTGTTTTCTCAATTTTAGATGGGAAAGAGGTAAAAATGTATGATTAGATATTATATGGGTTAACTTTTAAAGTTTTTGAATCATTTGTGTGTATATGTATGTACATATGCCTTAAATATTTTAAACAGCTAAGTAGCAATTAGGATTAATGACTCTTCGTGACTAGTGGACAACAGCCAGAGAAACAACTGTGTGGTTAAATTTGCATCTGAATAGTGGCTGTAGCTTTTTTGAAAAAGAGAATCCTGGTCATTTTAAAGCTGTACAGATTTAACAATCGGTGCTTTCTACTTAAACCAAGTTTAAGTACTTTTCATTGACTACCTATAAATCACGTCTGTCTAGTCCTGAAAAACCACTGGAGCACAAAGTCAAACTTGTAATTCAGATTTTAATGGGCTGCCCAGGGAGCCTCAGCCGAGTGAGTAGCACACATGTAAACGACAGGAAACACATGTTGAGAGCTTGGCAGTATTTGTGTGCCGTGAGCAATGAATGCTAAAGAAGCTGGAAGATTTTGTTTTGGAGTGTTGTGAAAATAATGTATTAAATGAAGTACATGTTTTGAGATCACGGAAAATCTGGTCAGGATGTCTAAGCTGTCACCAAAGAACGTGCTGTCCCAGTTCATTCGCACGGGCTCTGTTGAAAGACAGCAGCTCCCTCGTTTCTCCTGCGGGACGGAGAGCGACATTGCATATCCTGGCACCTGCGAGAACAAACGTTAGACTCCTGAGTGACTCAGCACGTCCGGCGCTGGGACCCTGCTGGCTCACACTTAGAGGGCGACGTGATCCCGGGCCGCCACAGCGTGCTCTGTGCTTACGCCGGTCCCCAGGGTGCCGGTCACTGCTCTGTCCTAGAAGAAGGGACCCCGAGAGGACACCCTGGGTCTTTGTTGCAATTCGACATTGCCACAACATTGTTGCTGGGTTTTATAAAAGTAATGACCCACAACAGTTAGAGGTTGTAAAAAGCCTTACAACACGCAGTGTCTGAGGAGCACTGGAGCATGTGGGTGGGAGGAGCTGACGGGTGTAAAGCACCTCGCTTCAGTCCCGTGGCTTTAATGGGGAGACCTGGCCCCACAGATCCCAGTCCCCACTCCCAGCCCAGCGTCCTGCGCTCTGTCGTCCTGCTTTCTCAAAGGTTCTGTCTGGTGGCGACGTCCTGCACTGCTCACTCTCCGCTCTCACCTTCCCCGGCAGGAAAATAATTGTTGTGTTTGTTGTCTGTATCTCTCTGTTGCAACTTTCCTAAAAAGTTAATGGCATTGAACACTTTCCACAGATAACTTACAGTCCTCTCTGAAGACTTCCAAGATATTAGAACACTTGAAAGAAGACAGCTCAGAAGCTTCAAGTCAAGAAGAAGGTCAGTGTTGATTCATTGGAATAAGTCATTCTGCCTGCTGTTGGGACACGGATAGGCAAGCAAGCCATGAGAACAGAATAAGGAGCCGAGAAACGGGTGGCATTACAAATAAGTGGGGAAAGAATAGATCATCCAGTGAATGGTGTTGGCTGGCCTTCCAGTTGAAAAATGTATGATTAGATCCCTACTTATATTAAGCACAGAAGTTTCAAGTGAACAACAAATTATATGGAACATAAAGTTAATGTAATGTGTAAAATATAAAACTTAAACTTTTAAATGTTCGCCTGGGACAAGGAGGCTTTCTTGACAAGACAAAGCTTGAGCATAGTGGAGCTCCTCCCACTCTGAATTAGAACTTCACACGTGACAGGGAATCCGGGGATTAGAAGACAGTTGCAAGATGCGTGCAGGTAAAATGACATCCACACTGTAGAAAGATTCTTCTAACAGTCAAGGAGAAATCATTCTGATTGGCAATATTTGCAGAAGATAGGCAATTCGTAGAAGAAGAGCCTTGAAAAGCCATTAAACAGTGTCAAACCTCTTAAGTAGTCTGGAAAAATGCAAATTAAAAACAGTTAGATATGGTGAATACAGATTACAATATACAGATGATGTATTATAGAATTGTACCCCTGAAGCCCGTATAATTTTATTAACCAATGTCACTCCAAAAAAGTCAATAGAAAAATAAATAAAACACATACCTACCTACCTACATGCATACAAAGGAGTATCATTTCACACTCTTCGAATTGGCAAAACATTTTCTCTCTGACATCAATGATACGAAGTAACAGGAATTCTCACCTGCTGATGGGAATTTAAATTGGCACAAGTATTTTGGACAGAAATTTGACACTGGCGAAGCTGGAGGTAATTAGCTGGATACTACTGCCAGCCATTCTGCTTTTGTGAAAATGGCCCCTGTGTCAGGGGTCAGGGACGGGGTTCTCAAGGCACCGTTGGTGTGATAGCCATGCCTGGACGTTAACCCACAAACTTTAAATGTTAATCAGGTTATACGTAAATCGTGGCCTATTCATCGCCACTCGGGCTGCCATTTAAAATAATTACAGTATCTTCAGACAGACACCACGACCGCCTGTGTCTGCAAATGCGGACAGTGACCGTGACAATGGGCCTGGGGTGTTTCAGCTAGTTAGCCTCGGCAGGGAGAGGGCGTGGGGCGGGTGGCAGAGGGCCCCAGGGGCTTCTGGGCCATTTTGTTACTTAGTAAAAAGAGACATCTAGAGATAATTGAGAAGGTGGGTACACAGGTGTTTGTTGTACTAGCTGATGTGTATTTTTAATATTTGAGACACTTCATTTTTTTTAATGTTTTTTTGAAAGCCTGAAATTGAATGTTGTAGTTTTGCAGTAGCATGCTCATATTAACTTGTATAGTTTTGGACACAATTGATTTACTATTAGGTGAACACATTTGAGATGATGTTTAAGGAAATTTGACCATTTATTGTATCTTTTGAAAAATTGACTCTTTAACGAACTTTCTGGAAAAAATGCTCTACAAGGTCTGTTGACACTGTTATGGCGCGATCCTTTTGGATTTCTGCAGGAGCATTTGGTGTAATAACGTGTTTTTCCCTGCCCTAGACGTGTTGCAGCACCCCGTCATGCACAAGAAGCACGCCGGGAAGAGCCCCACTGTGAAGTAGGTGTCTCATTCCCGGAATGAGAGACGTCAGTGCATTTTAACTCAGTGTCTCGTTTACTGTGATTACTGGTTACGTTTACATTTAACTGTTCGCTTATGATTTGTTGTATGTTTTCTGTGCTTGCTTTTTCCTTCTTTCATGCTTTTGGATGGTTTTTATTCTCTTGTCTTTCTGAGTCTTGATAGTTACACCCTGTTTTGGGACTATTCTGCTGGTTACCCTGGACGTTACGTTGTACATCTCTGACTTGCTAAGGTGTGCTATCAGTTGTGTTTTCACCACCTACCGTGTGAGGATCTTCTGTCGCTGTAACCTCACTTATCTCCACCCGCCTTACAAACAGTTGCTGTCATGTGTTTTGATGCTGTCTATATGTTAAACCTTATGGACCCTTTTTTCATTATTTTAGCATCAGCCATTCCATTGTTCTTTATTCCTTCCTGTGTGTCTGGGTGTCTATCTGTGATTGTTTTCCATCTATCTGAAAAGCCCTTGACTATTTCCTGTTGTCTTACCTGCCAGTAATGAATTCACCTAGTTTTTATCTGTAAAAAATACTTATTTTTCCCTCATTTTTTGGAGGTCATTTTTGCTGGGTATAAGATTCTGGGTTGGCCGTTATTTTCTGTTAGTTCTTAAAACCATACAGGCATACCCCGGTTTATTGCACTGCACAGATATGTTGTATTTAATTAAGGTATGTACATTGTGTTTTTTAGACATAGTGCTATTGCACACTTAATAGATTACAGTGTAGTGTGAACATAATTTTTATATGCACTGGGGAACCAAACAGTTTGTGTGACCTGCTTCACTGTGATGCTCGCCTTATGACTGCGCTCTGGAACCTAACCCACAGCATTTCCAAGGTCCGCCTTCAGTGTCGCTGTCTTCCAGTCTCAGCCTTCCGTCCCTGGCAGCATCTCCTCTCGGCCCAGCTCCTCATCCTCTCTTCTGATTTCTACTACAAACCACGTAAAATCATCTATAAGATTTCCGTCTCCCCTCGCGTTACTGCTGTCCCAAGGATTTCCACCTTCTGCTGCGGGGCCTTTGCTGATGCTGTTGGGCCTGCTGGGCCCTCAGCAAGCACAGTTGACAGGCGCCAGTCAGTTTGCCTGGGGCTTAGTCCTTCACTGAGGGCGGAGCTCCAGCTTCCTGTCCTTCGGGTAGACAGCTCGGGGAGGTCTCAGCCAGCCGGAGCCTCTGCTGCATACAGCGGCACCCTTGGTGATGGGCCCTCGTGCTGGATTTTCCTCCTGTCCTGTTTCATTCTCTCTGACCCTTGCTCTGCTTCCTGGGGTCACCTCCCAAATCTGTGGTGACACTCCAGATTCTGCTTTTTGGGGAAACTCACACTTACGACAGCTAGCATCCATCGTTTCAGTCTTCTGGTTGCTCTTTGAAAGTTAATGTGCTTTTCATACTCTTATTTCTGTTTAAGATTCTTTCATTGTCCGGTTTCTAGCAGTTTTCCTATAGTATGTTTGTAGTCTTCTTTGAATGAATTCTGCCTCCTGTGTCTGAAGCTTGGCAGCTTTTGGTGCTAAACAGTCCAAGCCGTCACTTCTTCAGTTATCACTTCTTCCCTATTCTCTCGTTCCCTCTTCCAAGACTTGAAGTGCTCACATTAGACTTTTCACCGTGTCCCTGTCTCTCAAACTGGTTTTTGCATTTTCCATATATTTTTTTCTCTCGGTGCTCCAGTCTGTTTTCTGACCGTATTTCCTCTTCTCTGATTTTTTCATGTTTCTGTCCGTTGCATCCTTAATTTCATTTCATTCTGCAGTTACAGAATTTAAATTTGGTTCTTTTTTATATTTCCCAGTATTCTAAAATTCTCAACCTTGTAGTCATTGATCATATGAAGGGCTATTATTGTAGAATCCATGTAGAGTAACTTTACTCTCTGGATTCCCTCTGAGACTGTTATCTGTTTCTTTTTCAGCCGCATTAGCCCGCCCCTTCCCGTGCCTAGTGGTTCTCTCGAGATTGGGGCAGGCCCCGACTGTGAGTGGGGCAGGATGACGGTTGTGCAGAGTCTAAGGAGAGAATGTGCATCTGTTAGTCATCTCTTCACAGACAGGGGTGAATTGTTAAGTAGATAAGATAGCTGTATACTGGTGTATTCGCATAGTATGTTTTGCTTTTCTTCTTTGGTGTGTTCTATAAAATCACATACTACGGAAAGGGTTAGTGTGGCTTCCTCATTCATCAGTGTCGTAGGTTAGATCATTGCCATAGGTTCGGTGTTCATTCCTGTGTACACTTTGCTTCCGATAGCACTACTGGTACAACTTGTTCCCCACTGGACGGCCTCACCATGCAGTGTTCCGAACAGAACGGCGTTGTGGACTGGCGGAAGCAGAGCTGCACCACCGCCCAGCACCCGGGGCACTGTGTGGCCTTAGCGGACCAGGTATCCGGGGGCTTGGTTGGGTCTTCGTGCCGTGCTGTTAAAGCGCTGCCCCTCGGTCAGAGCCCAGTTGCATCAGGTAGCACGTCTGGTGAGAAGGACTGAGGGAATGTTTAAGTGTTGGAGTCTAAACTCATTTGGGTGATGTGATCCAAGTTCTCCTGAGGCCTGAAAAAGTTTACTTAGATTACTTTTTAAATTCCTACCAGGGGTACATTAAGTTGTTTTGCCAACTTTTTTACTTCTAAAAGAACTATTCACATTTCTGTCCCTATATTGCTGTTGGTGTTGGGAATGTTGAAGCTGACCTTCCCTCGTGAGTAGCGGGACCAGTTCACGGGGCCTTCTGAGGGTGACGAGGACAGACGTGCTTCCTTAGCAGTTGATGAGATGCTGGAGCCCAGTGCTCCCAAGGGGGCGTAGGCGATGCGGCACCCCAGGCACAGGGGCGTGCCCACTGGTGCAGCTACTGAGCAACCCTGTTCTCCCTAGAAGGCAGAGATTTGTTAACCTGATTCTAGTTCTGGATGACACTCGATCCAAATGTTCACCTTTACTGGAATGTGTTTTTATGAACTAAAGCTTTAAGGCGTGTTTTGAAAAATTGTATATTATCTTAGCCATATTTATTAAAAAATAGATACTTACTTAAAGATAGATGCTTATTAAAAATAGATAAGCATCTATTTTTTAAATACATTGTACTTTTTGTACCTCCAAGTCAGTGCCTGTGCACCGTTTCTTTTTAGAGTTGAAAAAATTGTGCATTGTAGTTTTGCCAGCCTGAACTTTAAGAAAATACAAGCACACTTATAGCAAATACCAGTTACTTGATTGTGTTTTATTTCGTGGTCAGAATAATACACAAAAGAATACAGGTCCATTTTAAAAGCAAAATACTAATTAGATGTTTTCCTCATGATTGATAATAATAAGTATTTTTCAAGGAATATAAAAATTTTAGTAGTTCATGCAGGTAACTTCAGTAATAGGTTCAGAATAAGAATTTGTTAGAATATGCAACTGAGAATGTATCTCATTTTAATGTAGATATCAGAATAAGGGTACCTTCAAGAATAAGGGTTAGCTTTAGTCTGTTTGATATCTTTGTATTCTTTCCACTAGCATTCAACTGATAAAAGAAGTTTATCTTCAATAAATAAGAAGAAAGGAAAGCCACATGTAGAAAAGTAGGTTCAATTTCATGTCTCCTGTAATAGAAATTGGGAAGAAAGGACGACACATAGCATTTGATTATGGGCATGTTTAGTTTATGTATAATAAGTAGTGTTTTTCTATTCCTTTTCTTTATATTTTTACTTCTGGGCTTTACTTTTTTATCCAAAATAATCAACATATACAAGTGATAAAAATAAAGCTACTGTCAAATATTATGCTCCATTTGGAGGGCAACTGTCAGAACTGTACACTATATCTTGCTTTTAGATTATACCTTACTAAGAACTTTTTTTAGTTCTAAAAAATTTTGAGGGGAATTTTAGTAATTCTACTGCACTTAATGTATTCTCCAGAGAATCTTATGAACAGTGTTGGTAACCTGTATACTTTTGGTTTAGGGAGCAAGTTAAGAAAGCTGACAACAGACTGAATAGTAGAATCAACGGTATTAGACTCTCCACTCCTCAGCACGCCCAGGGCAGTTCCGTGAAAGGTAAGGATGTTTGCTGTCGTGTCAAATACCCATCACCTGAATGCACGTCCTGTGATGCCTTGTATAGTCAGCGCTGAGCTCTCATGTCGGACCCTGATGTACTTTTATCTTGCGTTGGTGCGAACAGCCGTTTCAGAATTACACGGTTCTGGAGTATTGGCAGAGTCTGCTTAGGAAATCCGGGGCCACTGTGGAGGTGCATTTCCTTTGCCAGCTCTCGCCCCCTCTGGTGCCCGAGGTCTCCTCGCTGGTCTCCTTCTCGAGCCTGTTCCCCGCTCCCGAGGACCCCGAAGGTCTCCCCCACCCTCGTGGACCTGGGGACCCATTCGTATATGAAGTCACTGTGTAGAGTCTGGTTGACTGTGTAGAATCATGTGTGATGGCTGTTTTCTGGAGCTTTGTGGCACTTTAGGGGAATTCAGACCCTTGGGTTCTTGGACTAGATTTGTGTGGTTTCTGTGTACCCACCATTATTCTGAGGTCCCTCTTTTTAAGGTGAAAGGTTTCGTGTTCATTTGACTGAGAAGTGTCCCTTCTGTTGGTTCATTGCTCACTTTCTGTGTTATGTTGACCTTCACCGTTCACAGTAAAGATAAAAAGTGAAGACAGGCCCACAGACCTTGAGGAGAATGTTTTGTTCACTTGTGTACCTAACACAGCTGTCAGCTGGACTGATCCTGCAAATAACGGTTAAAATTTAGATTTTATTCAAATGTTACTACATTAAATTGCGATATACCATAAATAACCAGAATATTTTTAATGGAGTGTTTTTTAATTAACATATTTGTTTAGAGAGATTGAATATTGATAAAGGAAATCTGGTTAATTTTGACTCTAAGATCCTTGGGCCGGCCACTGAATGAATGAACTGAGCTGTCTTGGGGGGGACAACATAGGGGAGAAGACCGTGTCATTGTATGAGTCTGTTGTGACACCCTGATGTTCCCCATGGCGACGGCAGCCAAAGAAGAAGGGAAGAACTAAAGTAACACGGAAGGTCTCTGCTGGTGCGTGTGGGCAGTAGCTTCTGCCCGGCTCCCCGGCCTCTGTCCTCCCCCTCCAAGGTCAGCCCCGCACCGCCCCCACTCTGTCTTCCGCAGCACACACTGGGTAGACCCGGGCACTCCCGGCCGGAATCCGGTCGGGTACAGGGGTGCGCAAAGGAGGCTTCCAGTTGGTGCGGGAAAAGAATTAATTAATAAATACTGATAACACAGGAACCACTCTCTGTGTTCCGTGTGCTCACAACTGTGAACCTGCTTTTGCCCGCCCCTGCACACCCGGTCCTCTCACGATCCCTCTGTCTCTCGTCTCCCACGTCGTTTGGGAACCGCTGCTCGCCAGACGAGTTCGCCACACTTCTTCCTTTTCAGCTTCAAACTGTCGGAGGAGAAATGCGTGGACTTTGATCTCAGACAGATGTCGCTTAGAATGGGGTGCTCCACCTGTTTCTTAAGTGTGCGGCCTCTCTGAATGAAGCTTTAGTTTTCTCATTTGTGAAGCAGGAATAGGACCTGCCTCACAAGATCGCAAAAATCGAATGTGACAGCGTGTGGAAAGCAGTTAGCTAGTACTGAGCACACAGGCGTTCAGTAGTTTAGTGTCTTCTCACCATTCTAAGTTAGAAGAAAACATGCCATAAAATTTATTAAGAGCTTTTTAGTACTATCACAAGCTTCCTTTCCTCTTTATTTTAAAATATTGTAGATGTACAATACAACCTGAGAGTGTTTGATTAGGATAGACCTTACTATGGCCCTGGCCAGTGGAGCGACGCCCTGTAACTGAAAGGCTGTGGGTTCGATTCCCAGTCTGGGCAGATACGTAGGTTGCAGGTTCAGTCTTCAGTCTGGGCCTGTACAATCCCCGGTCCAGCGCTTACAAGAAGGCAACCGGTCAATGTGTTTTTCTCTCTCTGCCTTCTCTCCCTAAAGGCAGTGTCCTTGGTGAGGATTACAAAGAAAAAGATAAACCTTATTTTGTCTCTTTTATCTTATATATATTTCTCTGATTGATATATATTTATACTTAAAGAGTATGACTATAAATGAAATATACTTTGTACAACTTGTCAATGTCGAATGTAGCTCAGATGTTTGCTGACTCCAACTTACGAAAAACCCATTTATTAGTTTCTCTTTAATATAGTAAGGTATCAAGGAATTACCTTTAGCATTTAGTAAACTCAAGATCTATTAAGATTTCTTTTTTTATGGAACAATGACACTTATCATAAAATGTAGAAATTGTATTAAAACTGAAAATATTGGGTCTTTCTGATTCGTATGTTTGGATCTTTAAATAAGTCAGTTTGATTTAAGATAAGTATCACTTATTTTTAATTTAAAAACTTCTACTTTGAGTAATAATACATTCATGTAGTTCGAAATTCTAGAGGTACAAAAAGGAACACAATAATCACTTACTGTCTCCCTCCACGTGGTTGCTTCACAGAAGGTTCCCAGTGCTGCTCATCATCTGTATTCTTTGCAGTGGGTTTGCTTTAAAACCTCAAGCCTTAAATCTCTCCACCGAGGAGAAGTAGGGTTTCCGTGGTGACATCGCTAAGCGGACACGCAGTGCACCTGCGTGTTTGCTCCGCACCGCTCTTCTGTAGCTGGTGCAGCACCAGGAAGTCTGAGGGGAGCGAGGTGATCGACTCTGTTTCTTTCGAAAGACTAGTGATTTAGAGCCTCCTGCTTTTCTCTAATTGTGGTTCTGATATACCTAAACAGTTAAGTCAGACTAATTCCTGTTTGTTCATAAATGCTAATAACCAGGATTTTCAATGTTAGAGCAGTGGCTACTGTAAGTTTTTGCCCCTTGTCTTCTTGCATGATCTTTCACCCTGTGAGACACGGTGACAAACAATAAAGTTCGTATTTACTTAAATGGGCAGTTTGTGGCATGTCCTTCAGCATATATATCCTCACCTGCACACCTTCTGACTCTAGGATGTCACGTCATTTCTCATAACAACTCCAAGGACTCTGTCCAGTTCCAAAGCACCCTCTGGGTGATCAAAAAGAGAACATGATGTCTAGTGTAGATTTAGATCCGTGTATTTAATTCTTTGAAAACTGCGAATTAATATATGATAATTTGGTGTTTCAAATGTTTACTAGCTATATAATCTAAAAAAAATAATTTTTAAAATTGTGTCATTTTGAGAAATGGCTGCTTTGCTTTTTAAAAAAAGCATATCCTGTAACTTACTCTGAAGTTTCCAAGACTCCACGGGAGTCTCACTGTCTGAGTTTGGGTGACGAAACCTCAGCTCGCCTGGCCCCAGAGGCCCCTGCCCGCCTGCCCTCTCTGCTTTGAGACTGCCGTACTGAATCCTTGACTCTCTTCTTCCTTAAATGGTTCGTTCTGTTCTATGCCGGTTGAAATACTTATATGCAGAATTTCTGTATGTGCCACAGTTTTATATTTATGTTTCGCTTCACGAGTGCAGTTGAATGCCAGGTTGGGCCACGGTGGCACATTAGGTTGTCTCCGGGGAGCCCCTGGTGTTGATGTGCATCCCTGGGTCACACTGCGACGGATCAATTCAAATGCTATTATCGTGCACAAGTATACGCCAGGTTACTTTTCTGTCAAGTTTTTATTTGCCCAAATAACGCCTCAGCCACTTACAGCGTTACGAGGTTTTGTGCATTTTCCCTTGCTGGTTTTGCATTTTATTACTCAAAATGAATTAGCAACATTTAATGACTTTATTGTTATTTGAGTATTCATCTACCATTTGAGTTGCTGGGTTAGGCTAGGTCATCTTAACAATGATGCCAGTTACAAATTTCCCCCCTTCAGAAGACAAAGATTAGTCAACTAACTTGGCCATCACAAACCACGTCTTTTCTGTAACACATACTTTGTCCAAGCGATTAATAGTTGCAACCTCTATTTGTTTCTGCCAGCTGGCTATGGAAACAACTCACTCATCTGTAGTTCTGAAGATCCCTCTGCAGTCCCTCGTGTGGGGACTTATGCACTAAAGCATACACTGAGCAGGTTGAATGCTTGCTGCAAGGCAGGGACTCTGCAGGCTACTGGATTTACAGAAATGAGTAGGACAGCACCCTAAGTGAGGGCCAGTACAGGACTGGCCAGTGCTAGTTATGCCAGTAACCTTGCCGTAAGCTCCAAACAGATGTAGCTAACTGGCCATGACCCCGACCCCCCACCCCTGACCCCGCCTCAGCATCGTCTCAGCTGCTGGGCAGAACTCAAAGAGCTACTCAGCCCACCAGGTAGGATTGACTCCTTTTGAATGCTCAGGCACAGTAATTCTAACTGAGGAGGCATTTTTTTAGCAGTCAGTCCTATTCTTAAGGTCTTTTGAACAGTGAATGTCCAACAAGTTCTGAGAAGTTAGAATATCTAGACTTTGAAAGTGGCCCAACATGCCGGTATTGGACAGACCCCACGAAGAGGCTTAACTCGGAGTTTTTAGAGTCACTAAGGTTGACTTTTTCCTCTGCCTTTGTTGCTCTGAGAATGTATGTATAAGTTACTTTCAATTAAAATAGTGATTTAATAATGAATTTTTTCATTATTAAAAAGCTGTGGGACCGACCAGCTTTTTAGGTGATTGCAGGAAAACAGAAAAAAAAAGTTACAGCTATAACTAATTTCTAATGGTTTAAGTTGGAATTTACTTTAACTACTCAACACTATTTTTAAAAATAGAATTATTATTTTTAGATGCGAATTTGGACATTGGATCTGGACATGACACGTGTGGAGAGACATCCTCAGAGAGTTACAGTTCTCCCTCCAGTCCACGGCATGACGGGAGAGAGAGTTTCGACAGCGAAGAAGAAAGAGACCGAGGTTTGCTCTTTGGAGGGGACAGGGGGGCAGTGGAGGGCAGTGCGTGTTGTCTCTTAAAATGGGTCCAAGGGGAGTAGCTTTATGTTCTCATGAACATCATCACTGATTTTTAATTCAATTGGCGTAAAGAATATGTAGACCAGTGACTTAGTAGGTCATAGCCATGTTGATTTGAAAAAAAGAACACTTCACTGCACATGAAATTAAATAGAAAGAAGACAGCCATAACAAAATGGAGAGTTCGTGCAGAGGGATTGAAAACTTAGGTGCACACATATTTATAATTTTTTGCTTCCTGACGGATTGACCCTTTTATCCTTATAACGTATCCTTCTTTGTGTCTAGTAACACCTTTTGTCTTACTTTTCATCTGATAGTGACACAGCCGCTCCGGTTCTCTTTGGGGCATTGCTCGCAGGGTGCCTCTGTTTCCATGCTTTCACTTTAAACCTGTGTGTGTCTTTGAATCTCAGGTGTGTCTGTCACAGCACGTAGTTGGATGATGGTGTTGTAGCCACTCTGTCCACCTCTGTCACCTGATTGGAGTCTATGCTGTATTTAAACTTATTGTAATTATTGATAAGCCAGGATTTACATCTGCCATTTTGGTTTTTGGTTTCTGTATGAATTACTTCTTCAATGTTTCCTTAAACAGAGGTTCAGAGGCAGCCAGAAATGAGAGTTCAGGATCCTTTTAGGTCTTTCCTGGGCATGCATACAGCCCTAGACGTGAGTGTGGCCTTCCAGATTCCCAGGAATACATCAGAGCTTTCAGAACTCCTCGTGGATGTCTCATTCTCCTGTTTTTCCTCCACAGTGTGCTGGTCCCCCTCCTTGTTGGCCCTAATGGCCGTGCTGCCTCAGGCCACCAAGCCCTTAAACAGTTGCTGCCCATCAAAGTGGCCAGTGCCCTGTGGGTAAAGGACTGTGAAAGAGTGAACGCAAGTTGCCAGACGATCAGATAGTGACAGTCTTTGGGGATGGCTTCTGTGGAGCTCCACACCCATGCTGCTGCTAGTCGCTGCCCGGCGGCTGGTTTTCCTGGCGACCACACCTGTGAGACTGGAAGGTTGTTACAAGGCTTCTTCAGAGCTGGAGAAAGGGAGATAGGATTAGGATTAGGCGAGGGGAAACGCCACAGTACTTGCAGTTCTTACGAGACTCAGCTGTTTTTCTTGAAGCAACACTCCTCAGATTGCTGCAAGTCTTTAGTTAATTTCCGCAGGTCTGAAAATTTTGATTTTGACAGTGTTTGCCAGGACTCTCGTTGCTTTTAAAGAGTGGAGTGTGAGAAGTCCTTAGCCTGCTATTCCAAAAGTGGTGCCCCCAAAACATGCAGGTTGAGTGAGGGTGTCGTTTTCCACACATGCCCACGACATCCGAGCCTTTTGGTTGTAAGGTGTCCTGTGCTGCCGGCAGTGTTCAGTGATGTTGCTGGGCTCACCCGGGGAGCTGGGGAGGTCCTCAGACCGCAGCGTTGCAGCCATGTGTGGCTGCTTCCTGGGCAGCCCACCGCTCTCTGAGACCCTAGCTCCTGCGCTAACAGGGTCAGGTCACGCCTCAGGGTCAGTGGCACTGGTGCTGCTGTGTCATGTACAATTAAAGCCAGTCTTCACTTTTGCAGTCCTTTTCAAGTCCTACCAAAAGTTTCACGCAGTGAGAGCTTGCCCCCCACGTGTCCCAGCCTGCGGCCGCACGGCCTTTCTGATCTGCAGAGCACACCTGCACACGGGGGCCGCTGGGCGCAGTTAGCAGGGACTGCACGAGCCTTCTCCGACTGAAGACTCCTTCGGGGCTGTCTGAAACGGGCAAGGGCTAAAGATCCACTGCAATTTGAAAAAAAAAAAAAGCTTTGATTTTGAGTGAATGAAAAGGTGGCCTGGAAAAGCATATGGCTTTGTTGCTATTGTTCTTACTGGTCCTAATGAAACTTTACTTTTCAAAGTCAACATAAAAAAAAAATAGGACAGAGCCTATCCCTAAATAGCTAGATGAGTGCTTACAATGCCCAGAAAACCACTGGGGACCATTTGAAATCGGGGTCGTTTGCTGACTGAGGAGGCTTTAGGCGCGCCCTCCCTGGAGGCCGCAGGGCCGGCTCTGTCCCCTGGCCTCACCCAGCAGCGCAGGAGGCGCTGTCCCCTGGCCTCGCCCAGCAGCGCCTCGCTCTCTCCTCGGCTCCAAGGGCCCTGCTTCTGCTTCTGTAACTGGTTTCCCGAGTCCGCACGGCCCAGCCGCTCACTTCTGCTTCTCTGTAGCTTTCCAAGTAAAGGTTCTCTTACAATTTGAGGGGGGAAGAAAAGAAGGTTGTGTCCAGCTCATATAGAAATTTAATTGACCAAATGTTTTAACTCTGTACTCATAATTATGGTACAGATACAGATACAATGCCTTAAATAAGTTATTCATCTTTGGATACTTTTTTTGTTTGGTAAAGCTTAGCAATAAACACCTCATTAAGGGGAGTTTATGCTCCACAAATTGGAGCATAACTCCATTTACTCACAAATTGAATGTCTTCCCTGAAATGTACATTCTAATAATCGAGTTAATGACACCATGGACAGCCTGTCACTGAGCAGGTTCTGTTTAACCTTTCTCCAGAAAGACTCGAATGATTTGTTTTTAGTGTTCTGTTTAAAATATTTTTAACATCTTAGCTGAACATAGCTAGCTATTACCTGAATAAATGTAAACATTTAAGTATGTTTTGCAGTTCTGCTTCTATTTAAGAAAAGAGATGGCGGAACAGGCACCACGGCTAACCGCGTGCTCTCCGCACACGTCACTGCAGCATCTGGGCTCACGGTGTCTCAGCACTGCGAATGAGATTTTATCTTCGCCCCTTTGCACGGAAAGTCAGGGAGGCGGGGGAGTCTGGATTCATGCTCTTTCCGCATACAAGCCAAGGACGATGCAGCAATAAACGCAGGCGCCGGCGGTGTGGCTCCTGCCCCTGCTGCGCTGCTGCTGGGTTAGGCGCTGCCTGGCGACCCCGCCCCCCCGGCTTCCGCGCGCTCGCGGTAGGGCTGCCTTGGACGCTTGACACTCTCTGCGCCACTGAAACAGTTCAGCGAGAGAATGTTTATTTTATTCTGGAAAAACTCTCTTCCACTTCCTGCCCCTAGATATTTGAGTTGAATACACTCTGAATTGAGCTCCTTTAAACTGTATCATTTATGTGCAACAAATACAAGACCTTGGGTTTGGCAGTGCAGACTGTAAATCAAGTGAATTGTCTAAAATTGACTGGTGTTAAAAATACCTGATCCTTTTCTCAGCGATAAGGTGGAATTAATATATCTCTGTATTTTGCATTGTACTTCATTGTCTCCAGGTAACCTTCTGTTGCTTTTCTCTCCACTGATTTTTCTTAAAGACTTTACATTTTTTACCAGTTTTAGGTTTACAGTAAAATTAAGGAAAGTACAGAGATTTTCCACACATGTTCAGCCTCTTCCATTTTCAACATAGTTCACTAGAATGGCACTTTTTTTTTTTTTTTTTTAAACCAAGGATGAGCCAACCCGGGCGCGTGGTCACCGCCCAGAGGCCGCGGTGTACCTGCGCGCTCCCTCTCGGTGGCGCGCTCCGAGTGGCCTTGGACGAAGGTCCGACAGCACGGTCTGTCGGTCTGTCCTGGCACCGTCACTCAGAATCTTCTCTGCCTGGCAGTCTCCGTGCTCCTGGTCCGCCCTCCGCCACCCCCCACCCCCCACCCCTGGCCTCCGTTGGTCTTCCTTTTGTCTCCATGGTGTTGCCTTTTCCAGAATCTCTCTATTTTTTAAATAAAGTACGTAGAGAGCCAAAAATCAAAAGAAGGCCAGGTTGGCCGTGAGGGAGCCGAGGGGCCCCAGTTACTCCAGTCCCAAACGTCAGAGCTCAGGTCAGACGCACTGAAGCCCCCCTCCAGCAGGGGCGGTGGGAGTCGGCCCCGGTGTCACGCGCCTCTCCGTCCTCTCCCGCAGACACCGACAGCAACTCCGAGGACTCGGGGACGCCGGCCACGCGCAGGTTCCCCGGTTCCGGCTCCGTCGCCCAGACTGCTGCCGTCCCGCCCCCGGGAAACATCGCCTCCTTGGGAGACGGGAGCGGAGGCCTTCTCGAGGACCCCGCCGGCGCGCCCAAGTACCCGCACATTTCTTTCATGCCGACGCTGCACTGTGTGGTGCACAGCGGCGCCCAGAAGTCGGACGTGGTCGTTCCTGCCCCCAAACCCGGCGACGGCAAGACAATAGGCATGCTGGTTCCCGGTCCTGTCGCCCTTTCTGCACTGAGGGAGTCCGGCGCGACCCCCGTGGGGCTCCTGGGGCCGGCAGCTCCTACTGGAGATTCAGAAAAGCACCTCGAGCTGCTGGCATCGCCCTTGCCCCTCCCGGCCACGTTCCTCCCGCACGTCCAGAGGCTGAAGCTGCCACCGCCGCAGCCGCAGGGATCCTCCGAGGGCTGCGCGCTGAGCGGGCCGCCGCCGCCGGCCGGGGGCCTGAGCGTCGGGTCCCTGGGCGCTGCCTTCCTCCCGGTGCACAGCCCAGGAGGGTTCCCGGGCTCTCCTGGGGCTTCCACGGACCCCGTCGCCAAACCCGCCTCCCAAATGGCGGGACTCAATCAAATGGTGCCTCAAATGGAGGGAAACGCGGGGACAGCCCCTCAGCCCACCAGTGTGAACGTAGTGCTCTCAGCAGCCGGCCTCTCGGCCGCTCAGCCACCAGCCCCCTACGCCCTGGCGGGCTCGCCCCTCGCCGCCGCGGCAGGGTTGCCCAGCCAGACCGCCGCCGCAGCGCCATCCGCGCAGGCCCAGCCCGCGGTCCCCACGCACACGCCGGGCCCGGCGCCCAGCCCGAGCCCCGCGCTGACGCACAGCACCGCGCAGAGCGACGGCGCGTCCTACATCAGTGCGGTGGGGAGCACGAACGCCAGCGGCGCCGTGCTGCCGCCCCCGCAGATGGGCTCGGGGCCCTGCGGCTCCTGCGGGCGGAGGTGCGGCTGCGGGACCAACGGCAACCTCCAGCTGAGTAGCTACTATTACCCCAACCCCGTGCCCATGTACCGAGTCCCCCCACTCTTCCCTCTGCCGTCCATGTGCAACGGCAGCTACCTCAACCAAGCACATCAGAGCAACGGAAACCAGCTTCCTTTCTTTCTGCCCCCGGCCCCGTATGCGAACGGGCTGGTGCACGACCCGGTCCTGGGGAGCCAAGCCAGCTACGGCCTGCAGCAGGTGGCGGGATTCGGGAGGTACTACGCCGTCTACGCAGCGCCCGGTGTGGTTGCCAGCACGAGCGGCTCGGGGCCCAAGAAGAGCGGGAACGTCTCGTGCTACAACTGCGGCGTGAGCGGGCACTTTGCCCAGGAGTGCAAGCAGGCGTCCATGGAGGCCAGCCAACAAGGTAACCCCGAGGGCTCGCAGCGGACTTGCTCGTAGTGGGCCGCGCCCCGCCTTAGTGGCCGCGAGGGTTCTCCCCTGGCCGAGTCGTGGGGTGTGTTTGCGGATGTGGTTCTTGCGGACGGGACGGCGGAGCCCAGCGCAGACCCAGGTCCCAGCCCCGGGGAGTTCGCAGGGGCTCCGTCTCCGAGTCCGGAGGAAGCCAGCAAGGCACTTTTGAAGGAGTAGAGTGGGAATTCGTGTTACAGAACCTCCCATCTCTGGCTTGCGGCACTTTTTTAGAAAGCTACAGTCCTCTTTCATAAAGTAAGGAAAATTTTTACATAGTGAAAAACTAGGAAGTAAGACAGTCATCTGACACGTAAGGTTTTAGGTATTAGTGTCTGTGCGCATTACCAAGGGGCCCGGTGCACCCCCCACGTGCTTTCCCTGCCCAGCAGGTGTTTTAAATTAAATGCTGTTGCATTTTAAGGAACAAAGTATTTTAAGCACTGGTTTGGTAGTAAGGGAATTTGACCTAAGTTGGTTATTATTGCCACCAAAAAAATAGGAAGCTGTTCTTAAATAAGTATATGAGTAAGGTACAAAATTCCATATACACCTCACACCGTTATCTTTCACTTGTGTGTGTTTTTTGTCATTTTGCCAAAAACAGTCTTGGATTGGGAGTATATACCTGGCACTTTTAAAGCTTTTTTATTCATTTATTTTATTTTTAGAGGGGAAGGGAGGGAGGGAGAGAAACATTTGGTTGCCTCTCGCACACCCTTAACCAGGGACCTGGCCTGCAACCCAGACATGTGCCTTGACCGGGAATCGAACTGGTGACCTTGCGGTTCACAGGCCGGTGCTCAGTCCCCTGAGCCACACCAGCCAGGGCTACTTGGCATTTTTAAAAGAAGCTGGAGCTTGACAGCTTTAGGTTGAACTTAGAGCACAAACTTCAGGTCACTTTTGAAAAGTAGCATATTGGCCACGCTGGCGTTGCGGGAGTGCGGAAGAAGAGGCCTCCTTCTTCCCCGCGTGCTGTCGGTGGTGGTTTGCGACGCGTTGCCTTGTGAGCAGTGACTTAGCCGTTCTGTCTCTCCCGTTCTAGGCACTTACAGACTGAGGTACGCACCTCCCCTCCCCCCTCCTAGTGACACGTTGGACTCTGCAGACTGAACCAAGTAAAGCTTGCCTGCCTGATACGTGAAGGGGGTGGGGGGGGCCGGGGGGGCGTGGAGGGCAGGAAAGGAAAGGTATTCTGTTCATGTTTCTTTGTCTACACATTTCCGGAATTTCTATGCAGTCGGGGTTTCTCCTGTTTCCTGTACCAATGTCCAAAACAGAAAAGGACGCATTGCTTTTGAGCCTCCGGTCTCCTGGTTCAACAACCGGCTTGTCTGTGTGACCCGTGTAACTTAAACATCCAAACTATCAAAAGGAACATGGATGCGTGGTGTTTCTTTTTTACACTGAATACTTGCTGTGTGCAATGTTTACTGAATCTTTAAAACTGTGTATTTGACCTTTTTTTTTTTTTTGACAACACTGGTGGCAGTCATATGGTTTTGAAAAAAAAAAAAAGATGCTCTGCTTCTTCCCCAGCTTTTCTCACTCTCACCCTAAAGCACACTGTTCTCCCTGCCCCCCTCCCGCTCGCCAGCGGCCCCTTGCAGGGCGGGTGGCCAGCGCCCTGGTGCCCACCCTTGGAGACTGCTCTGCACACACGCCGAGGGCCAGCCGTTCCACCCGAATCTCGAGGGAGGAGTCAGATTCCCCAGGGCATGTGCGTGTGTGCGAGGAGCAGCGTCACGGAAACCCACGCACGCGGTGCTCGGTGTCCGCCTGCACGCTGAAATAAGTGGAAGCAGTAAAACCGTATAACCCTGAGGAAACATGATGTATGAGGTGGACAGAGAGCTTTTTCTTGCAAACAGACGACCTTTGTGACGCATCACCCTTTGTAGCCCGTTGGCTCAGAGAGACGGCAAGTGAACGAGCCGGCGTGGATGGTCTGCGTGTCTGTTGGTGGGGCGGCCGGCCTCACTGGCCGTCTGCCCCGGTGTCGTGCTCGGACGCCGCCCGAGTGGCAGCCCTCCTTTCCCGCGCCACCTGTCCCAGTGTTACGTCGCGGTGAACACGCGTGTGCTGTGCTTCGCCGCAGCCCGCACGCACAGAGCCCTGCGTCCCTGCCGGCGCCCGGCGTCAGCGCCCTGCCCGGTCTCTCGTCGCAGAGCCGCTCCCCTGCCCGTTCCCCGCTGCGCTTGGTGAGGATGTGAAAGACTGCTGAGCGCAGCACGGTGTTGATCATGTCCGTGTCCTGTCACTACGTTCAATGCTGCTGTTTTTAAAAAAAAAAAAAAAAAAAGGTTTTTTAAAGCCAATCTATGTACTAAATTGCTTCCAGGTAATCTTTGATTTCCTAAAGTGCACTGAGGTTATCTGGGAGATCAGGGGCGTTCCTCGGGCTGCCGCGGCCCACAGCGACGGGCACCTCCCGCCGCGCAGCTGCGGGTCCGGGGGTCCGGGTGGGCTCTGGTCCCCGCGCCTCAGGGTGGAGCCCGAATGAGAGGTTTCTGTCCTGCGCGGCACCTGGGTGTGCGGCACCTGGGTGTGCGGCCAGGGAACGTCGGTGTTTGGCGCTGGCTCCGAAGCCTGACAGATCGCTTAAACAGAAGGAAACACTTGAAGAAAGAAGGAGCTTCCTGTCGTGCTTCCTAGGTAGCATTTATATTTATGGCACCGATGTACATTTTGAAACTTTCTTTCAGGGGTTGGGAGTTAAAGGGGAAAGGGTGGGGGGTGGGAAGGGGTCAAGGAAAGCTTTAATTTAAAAAGAAACAGAGTTCGAGTAAAGGAAATTATTTTGATTAATTGTATTTTATTTGATCTGGGCACTTTTGGACCACGTTATTATTAAATATTAACTGTTACGCTGCCGCAGAGTCGTTCCAGTGAGAGTTCGGACGAGCCGCGGACGGGCCGCGCCGAGGGTCGCTTGCCAGTGTGCTCCACGGAGCCTGTTTCCCGGTCTGAAATACTGTACTGTACCTAGGAGGTGTGCTGCCTTCTCCTCGTTTGTATGTTTACCATATACTTTGATATTTGAAATGTTATGTACTGGAAAGGCCACTTATATTTCTAGAACAGATTGGATTTTATGCAACCTTTTTTCCTTGAATTAACAGCAATAAAAAAAAAATGAAAAACAGCCTAAGAGTTGCGCTTTACTACAAATGTTACAAAACTGAACCACGGGAGGACATGCCACGTCACTCATTACGTTTTTCCCGCCGAAGAACCAACCCGCCGTCGCCCTGCAGCACAGGCGCTGAGCCCGAGCCAGCTGCCATCCGGACGCCCCTCAGTGCCCTGGGCAGCTGGGCCCCGTGGTTGGCGGGCGACCCCCAGAAGCGGACACTGCACGTCCGTGCTCCCTGGACACGCACTGCGTGCTGCCCCGGCAGCCAGGCAGAGTCCTCGTCACCCTGGAGCCGTGTCACTGGGTTAGGCCTTTCCCACTGACAGTGTAGAGGACACAGTTTGCTTTCTCAAATGTATCAATATGATTTCGTTTCCCCAGCAGCTCTCCCCGTGCAGCGCTGCGTACCTTTATGTCATGGGTCAGGCCTTCCGTGACCCAGTCTCACGCCAGTTTTCGTACCGTCATTGATTTCTAAGAGATGGGGGGGCGGCACTTCCCAGGTGTCTGTGCATCAGTCACGGCCTCTGGCAACGACTAATGTCTTGTCACTCCGCCCAGGCCCCTCGGGGGTCCCCCAGCTCTCAGGGCACGGAGTGACCGTCCGGGGCCACCTGATGGAAGCCCCTCTGCCTCCAGAGGGCGGGGCGGGGTGGGGGGTGTGACTCACAGGGCACCAGCTTTCCGCTTCAGCCAGCGAGTGTGCACCCGTGCGTGACACACGCAAGCCCCTCTGCGCTGGTGCGCGGGTCTCCAGCGTCACACCTGTGTCCTCTCCCGTGCCTTCACCCTCCCCACCCCCACACCGAGGGAAGAACCACTCTCAATTTTACTCTTCGCACAGTTCACGCCCTCCTTCAAACACGCTTCGGCTTCAGGGGAGGCGTGTCCTGGGCCCGGCCTCCTGGGGAGGTCCGGTCGTCCTGCCCTTCGTGCCCTCCCGAGTTAACCGGCGCGAACTTAATTTGCAATTTTAAAAGTCAAAAATACTGTTTTCTCACGTGTTCGTATTTTAATATCCGCCACCGGCAAGATGAAAATAAGCCATAGGAAGCATGCTTTCTCAGGGTCGAAAGGATGTAGCCGATGTCACTTTCCCCGAGGCTTAGCCATTTTTACTGACTTGACAATATTCCATTGCATGGGGGCGGGGGCACACACGTAAACACCGCAAGACGGGCTGTACCCCTTTCCAAGAGGTTTCCTCTCCCACCTGCGGCAGGGAGCCCCTCGGACCGCCTCCTGACACCCTCCCGAAGTGACCCCGAAACAGTGCCACGGGAGGTTGTCCCGAGGGACACCGGGGGGACACCGGGCAGCCTGGACGTGTCTGCGTGAGGCTCGGAGGTGCGTGTGCAGAGCCTGCCAGTGTGGGCGGGTCTGGGGACCGCGCCGGGGAAGGGACTGCACTCCGGGGAGGAAGCGTGTGCAAGCCACGCCTGGACGAGACGGGGCGGGGAGGCAAGAGGAGGACACGAGGGCAGCCGAGGCCCAGGGAGCATGTTGAGAGAGTCACGAGAGTTGTGGTTGCCCAGAACAGACCCGGACGGGAGGTGTGCGCGCTGACTGATGAGAAGTTGGGCGTTACCGGGTGTTACACAGAGGGAAGGCACGTTAGCAGGGGTTTTGGGGGAAACCGTCAGAAACACGTTTACTGGAGATTCCGAGGAAACCGCTGGATGGCTGCGCTGGCACCAAGCCTGGGCACTCAGAGGCTGATTAGGGTGAGGCCGGAGGGGATGGAAGAGGCAAGCAGACGGCAACTCAGCCCCCGAGCCTCGTTTTCCAGGGATGTACAATGCGACTGTTGACTTTAAATTGAGGCCGTGGAGAGTGAATGAAACGATGGGCGGGAAAGGTCTGACATAAGGCACGCAGAAGCACCAGGAAGGCACTCAGATGTTCGTGGAATTCAATTTTGGCAAGCAGATGGGGATCCTGGCTGAAGAGGCAGGAGCAGGGGGAGGGGATTAGGTCTGGGCGAAGGCGGTGATTGGCGGCCGGCGAGGAAGCCAGCCAGCCGCTCTCCGCTCCATCAAGTGTCACCGTTTCTGCTCTCACCGCTGACATAAAAGACATCAGACCGCCCTGGTCCTCAGAGATGATATCTAGCCGAAGAGCTTCCCGGTGAAAGGCAGCGATGGGCTCTTCATACAAGAGCTCCGTCCCACAGTCCTGAATTTTCAGCACCAAAATAGAGTAAGTTCCTTACGAGACAGGCTCACGTTTCATTCTTGTACGTCAGTGCTGAAAATTAAATTTTTCTGAGATGGCTCCAAACACATTAAAGCACTGTGTAAAATAATGGTTAAAAAACAACAGCAGCATCTAGTACGTAGGAGCACCATCCCTGTGAGCTTGAAAGACACCTCCTTTCAATTCTCCGCACTGATCCCAGAACCATTTAAGGCGGAGGCTGCGGCACCAGATGGCGGCCAGCTACCACGAGAGAGTTCAGCCCCAGAACCTCCCGTCCTTTCATCTCAAATAAGAAAAAGCGCTGACTTCCTCCACCCTGCCCGCCCCTCCAAAATGGCCTGTTTATTTTTAGGGAAAGGAGTGAGGTGTGGGGGGGTGAAGGCCTGGGGGAGGGGTCCTCTGATTTCAAACGTGGTGACTGCGACTTGGGTCAGCCGTAGAATGAAGGGCTGTGGGGTGAGGGTGCAGGGGCAGGTGTGAGCTCAGGCAACGGGCGCATTTGTGTTTTTGTTGTTGTGCTTTGGTGTGTGTGTGTGTGTGTCCTGCAGCGCCCTAGACCCTACCCGTGGGCAGAGGGCGGCACCGTGCAGTCCCAGAACAGCGGAGTCTTAAGGTCAGTGTCGCATCAGCCCTCTTTTGAACAACGCGAGCCCTCCGGACACCGCGGCTGGACACCGCGAACATCTGTCCACCTCGGGAGCGCGCGCGCGCTTTAGGCTTCCCGGGTCCCCTCTGGAAAAGGGGCACCACCCAGGGGGGACAGCCAAGCAGTCACAACTCTTCTGCTGTGACTGCAGGTTTCGGTCGCCAGCACTCTTAATCCCAGCATCCGGTTTTGCTCCTGGAGACGGGGCGGCGTGGGGGAGGTTAGGGTGGGGCGATTCTTCATTGTTTTCCTTTTTCCTCTGGCAGCTCCCACTGGATCCGCTGGCACCGACCTCAGCCAGCCTCTCGCCGAAGGAAATTGCTCATTGGGCAGCGGCGCCACCTTGTGGTGGGCGAGGAGAGTGCCTGCAAGCAGATGCCATTTCCCACTGATGCAGTTTAGAGAATATTGAGCGTGAGACGGAAAACGTTTGAGATTGCAGGCCTGTGCCCAAAACCTTCAAGAGTGCGGGCAGACGGCCATGGAAGCGATCAGCAGTCTCCTCCTCAGGCCACTGCGGTCTAAGTGTGTTATAAACATCTTAAATGCATGGATGGTACTTTGCAGTTTTTCTCTGTGGTCACTGGTCAGCACAACTGTGAAGGGCCTGGAATCGCCCGCCTCCCTATTGTACAGGGTAGACACTCGGGGTGCAGAGGGGCTGAGGGCCACAGACACGCCAGCGATGAGGGCCAAGCCCCAGCTGCAGACTGATGCTCTCCTCCTGCACCACCACCTGCCCCAGGTGCTTCTCTGCAACAGTGAGGGTGGTGACCTCTCATTTATTTATTGTTTACTTACTCGTAACCCTCACTCGAGGACATGGTCATGGGTTTTAGAGAGGGGGGAAGGCAGGGAGAGAAGGAGGGAGAGAAACATTGATGTATGAGAACAACATGGATCCGTTGCCTCCTGGACACGCCCTGACTGGGGATCAAACCCACAACCTAGGTTTGTGCCCTGACCCACAACGTCTCAGTTACGGGGCAACGCTCCAGCCCACTGGGCCACACCAGCCAAGGCAAGGACAATGGCCTTTAAAAACCATATAAAACCACAGGGAGCCACGGACTCCTGAGACAGGACTGGGCCAGGTCCTAGTTGGTCAGAGCGTCTCTTTTCTGTGTGTCTGTGGAAGGACTTGAAGACGTGGGGTGAAGGGAGTTGCAGAGACATGGGTTGCAGAGTGGGCACCTCAGGGCTCTCAGAACCAGGCTGTAAGCACATGCCTATCTCAGGTAGGCCCGACGGGCTTCACCTCTCACCTACATCCAAGGGGACAAACCTACGCAAGCACACACCCCCTGCTGAAACACGGGGCTGTGCAGACGTCAGAAGTTAAGAAATAAAGCATTGGGGCAGGCGGAAGAGATGCACGCAGCTGCTGGCATTTTCCGAGCTTTTACATCTGCATGAAGATTGTTCCTCTGGCAGCCACCATTACTCAAATACACCCCCAAGGCCCAGAAGGATGGCCTTGGCCTTGGAGCAAGAGCAGTGTGGGTCACTCCTACCCCCAGAGGAAGGCTAGGAATGCCAGCAGATCGCCAGGCGCTCCCTCGTGCTCACTCTTGCTGGCCTGTCGGGGTTGGGTCACGGTGCCATGTGGTAACCCAGTTGTGCGTGGGACGCCTCTGGTGACTGGTGCCAGAGGTGGCAGCCATCGTGACTGTGTTCCCACACCACCCCCGTACACATGACCTTCCTCAGGCTGACTTACAGAATGGGGATGGCCTTCGTTGTGTAGAACAGGGATAGCAGTTACCTTTGGCAAGGTACATAAGGCACTAAATGTCGAACACGTAGCAGGTGCGCAGTAAATTCTTAACGGTAGCGAGCACCTTCATGCCCTTTAGTGGCCGGCACTATGAGCCTCACAACAGCCCTAAGAGGTAGGTACTGTGCCCCATTTTACAGTTGGGGAAGTTGAGGCGCAAAGGCTAAGCACATGTCCAGGGACTCGGAAGTTAAGTGGCAGGGCCGAGTTTGGAACCCATGCCCTTACCACGGGGAGACTCTGCTTCTGCTTTGTCCTGTGTCAGGGCGAGGACCCTGAGCCTGCACGCCAGGGCGGTGGGGGGGTGGGGGGGGTCAGGCCCGTCGCCCCTCGGGCAGGCTCTGCGTGTGCTGCTGTCCTCCAGAGCGGCTGGCTGCCCCGGACTTT